TCTTTTATAGCTACATGTACATAACCAAAAGAAGCATGTTACTGCCTGGAGTGAAATGAAAAGACTCCAAACACTGCTCTTGTAGTAAAAAATTTGACATCTCAAAATTGTAGTTTGATAAACCTCTTATCACTTTCACCAGCTACGTGACAGGATTTCATGTACAGTATCTACCGGTTTAGCTAAAAGTGGACTTTAAGATAAAATAAAATCTGGAAGGTGAAGCTTGAAGCCCCTGGTTATACATGTAGGTAAATAATTTATGAATCCTGTTTCTCAAATAGCATGACTGTGTTGTCATTAGCAACAGCTAGCTTAGTGTCATCAATACACACAATGCCCCGGGGTTTGTGTAAGCCCTTCACTATGCATTCCTCAAAGTCACCCTGAGTGTTGTATCTGTGAACATGACCCAGTCTGTCATTGCTGGATGTCACTACTATGAAGATATCATCTTTGGTGCTACAACAAACTCCGAGACACCATGCCGGCTTGCCTCGGATAGTGGGGTGAATTGTCTGTATCACTATATGTACATTGCGGTCATCCATGATGTCAACCTTGCAGGCATTCCAGCCGCTCACTAATAGCTGACCCTTTCTATTGACAGCCAGGAAGTGAGGACACACGTGCAACTTTCTGGTACCCACTAAAGTGCCGTCTGCTGGGAGATGCTCTGAAACGACATTACTGAATGCATCACCAATGAAGATATTGCCACCTTCACCAACAGCTGCACTAACCAGACCCACTTGAGCTTTGTCCACTGCAGCTGGTTTGGTTGTGAATGTAAAGGCTAATGTATGATTCTCAGTGAAAACCTTTACTTCGCTTGTCTCATCAACTGCGACTAAGTTGTTGTTGGGCAGAACGGCAACGTCCCACACTAGATTGTGAAAGGTAGAATAAGAGTAAACAAATCCTGAATTAGTTAGATTATATGGCTGATCACAGTGAGCTTGGCAGCAGGGCATTCTGGCAGTGGTTTTTTACCAGAGCTTAAAATGGAACAATTAGTTAATTCTACCCAGCTGCCACACAACAGACAATATACCGTATCATATGGTGTTTTGGGACCAATTTCATGGCGCTGCTGAGCACAAAATTTGATGCAAATAGAGGCTCCATGTATTTCATAAGCAACCGTAAGCTGTAAGCACAGCAAAAGGCATGCTGACCTTGGAGGAAAAATTTGCTTAATGTAGTGACAAAACAATGAAAATTTTTAGCTCGCACAACGCTAACTACAATCACACTTAAAGGTTAGCAAATCTTTCTGCTATAGTAAGCAAAACTTTTCTGGTAACTGTTAAGCAGCACCATGAAATTGGGCCCAGATGCTAAGAGTTTCCAAGGTATTTTCTTTACTAAGCACAATTTCTGCCTAGAAGCTCCTTGTAATTGGTTCCAACCCATCCTTCTGAAACCCTTAGTGACAATGTTGAAGTATTAAAGGGGCTGGTTGTGCAACCTCTGTAGACCCTTCGATCTACTGATACATCTACAGACAAACCATCTCACGACCTCAACCAATAAAGCTTGCTGTAGAATTTATCAACACATTTGGTCATCAAATGTATCACAAGCAAATCACAGGTACCCCAGTCTTCATATATTTAACCACAAGTCATTCATGTGAACTTGAATAAAGACAGTTGTGACAAATACTCTTTAGTACTAGACTACAATACTGCTTTCACGTTAAGTGCCGGGTGAAATGATGATTTGTGGTACTTTGAATAAGATTTATGGAAATGAAGACATTCTCAAAAGACCCACCTCTTTCCAGTGGAATCTTAGCTTGGACAACATTCTTGATGTTGCAGATCACCAACTGGTTGTTTACAAAGTCACTTACGACTATTTCACCACTTCTGTAGGCTGCAATGCCACGTAGGAGATGACTTGTGCCGTCAGTGCAGTCCGTTTGACCCAAATCCACAGATATTTTGAATTTCCATGGCAAGACATCATCAGTCTGGGAGCTGTTACGTTCACCTGTGGTCAAGCTTTCAGGGAAGTTCCTTTTTCTTTCACTTTTACTACCTAGACGAGTGGAATAATTTCCCAACATTACTTGCATTATCAGTGGAAACCATTTGCCAATGCCAAAAACTTCAGACTTCTGGGCAAAAAAATATCACATATTAGTGTATGCCCCATAAGAGAGTTCATGATTTTACTCAGGCAAAACTCAACCAATAATTCCCACTTATTCTTGTCCAAATGTCTTGACTACGTGTACTTAGTTGTTTACACCCTCTGACTCTTTGAAATCATTGCTTACGTGTTGAAAAAGGCTACTGGGGCCAGTTTCATGAAGCTGTTCTGAAAAGCACAAACTATAGCTTACATGTAGCAAACTTACTATGATGAACAACCAGCAGAGAACCAGTCATATGAAATAGCCATTGCATGGTACTTTTTCTTAATAACATACATTTTCTGCACTGAGCAGTTCCATGGAATTGGCCTTGAGTCTTGTCCTTGAGCATAGTATGTCACCACCTGTTCACCTTAACCCTACCCCCTAGGGTGTATGTAAAATCATTGAAATCGGAGGATTGGGGCTGTTATATAGGGCTATTCAAGTGAATGGGCAAATGCAAAGGAGAGATAGTTATATTGCAGACCTAATCATGGCTGTGGAATGGTTGCCTGTGGGAGGTACATGTATCTTGAAACACATGTATATCGTAAAAAAAAACAAGCTAAATTCAGAAAGCAGCTCTAAAAATAATTGTGGAACATCTTAAAGATTGAAACAGATTTGTTTTTACACCAATGTTTGCTTGGGATATAAGGCTGCCAAGTTTTGTACAGTGGTGAAGTGTCCTGTGAATGACAATAGCCTGCCTGATTGAGTCACATTTGAATTTCTTTCTTCACTGACCATAAGAAACTTACCTGTCCTTGTCTTGGAATGATCTACGGTCTTCTGTTTGCCCTTGGCACTAACATCAGCCTGTGAGGATTACAAAAAGTGTAAGTGTGAATATAAAGAAAAAGGAATCTCTTCTATTGAAGAGTTTCACTTACCATAAAACAGTGGCATCAGGCTCCTAGGGTGATTAAGAGAGGGTACGTTTGTTCTACAAGGTAGGGAACTCACCTGGAGTATGTGTGAGCTCATAAATGGCATACCAGCAACATCAAAATCTGTGGACCTTTTGTACTGACCCTGGTTGTACAGTACCAGTGGTACATGGCTTGTCATCCTAACAACCTTTCTACATTTGTCATCAGAGGGCAACTGAGAAACAGAATCAACATTTCTCAGGATGGGTGTACATGTACGTCAGTTGTCTAATGACAGAGTAAAATTTCGAAGGTTGCTATGACAACTCTCTTAGTTGGCCATGCCTCCTTTAAATGGGATTTGATCCTATGAAGTCCAGAATACTGTATTTGTGCTTCACTGAGATGCTGTTAAAAAGTGAAGAAACTAACATGTAAGCCATGAAGTGTAATGTTAAAAGCGTTACTGTAACCTACACGTATGATGACCTGCTTACGCACACAATTTGCTTAAGCGCAAAAAACCTTGTTTAATAAACAAAGATTGCCAGAGCAAAATCTATGTGATTGTCATGCTAACCAAAATACAGGTAAATACCATTCTAAAACAATATATATCACATGGAGTTTTGGCTGGTAACCTGATTTGTCAAGCAAGGTTTTTTTTCATGCTTAAGCAAATTTTGTGCTTTAGCAGCTCTATGAAATTGGCCCCTGCTTCGAATCTCTTAAACTCACTTTGTTGGCGTGTGGATGGTGAACAGACAGATGTACAGGGCTTCTTGAGGGACCCCAGCTCCTCTGATAAATGTCCACATTGCATAGCTGTTGTCCATCCCATTCCTTTTTCGCAGCTCCGCTATGATTGGCCGTATCCACTGAAAGGTCAAAGGTCACACTATGCACCTGGTTTTCCCACAGGACTTCTTTTGCAATACGCTGTTCACAATAAAGAGAAACTCCGTAATGAATTACAAAGCCAACTTTCTTAACCAAAACCCACAGGGTATTTTGGCTGGAAACCTATACTGAATGCAACAAACTCTCTCCAAGTGTACAATTTGCCCAGTGGTCACCTGCAAATCAACAGGTCAACTATCCTCAGGACCAATGAATTCAGATGCTCAGGTTGCCAATATTTGGAACCGAGTGTCTGTCACAAGGGTCACCTGCAAATTCATCATAAGCTTTCACAAGGTACAATGCAGCAATTTAGGGAATGTCTCTCATTATGTAGCATTTACATTTGGTTCGCTGGTACTGTGATTAAGTGGTGGAATTATAGGGTACCAGCGATTTTCCTTCCATACATGTAAGTGCATGCTTTTGTAAGTTTCCACGAGCATTTTTGTGCTACTTTAGCGAAGCTGAAACATTATTCACCTGTTGGAGGCTCCCCTACATATAACTACTGGTACATGTACGCAAGTGTCTGTCTTAGAATTTTAAACTCAATTTTGCGACCATCCTGGGAGTTTTTCGTTCGTAGGACTCACAAACAGAAATATTAGCAGCATGAGTTTTACTGCCAGTTAGTTATAGTCTACAGTAGTTGCCAGCATCCAGTGAGGTGCTATACAATATACATGTATAGGCATCTGATTGATGAACAGAAAATTTCAAGCTCAATCACTGAAAGCGCTGTGAAGAAAACATTTGTTTCCTTTTTTTCTTACTCAAGTCCCTAAAGGAAATTTTCTCAAGGGTAATGTAAAATCCAGTTTATTTGGGAATTCGTGCATGGGCTCTGGAAAATAAAGCCTGACTTTCAGAGATCTGCATGGTTCCCACCCCTCGAACATAGAAACAGTGCATTAACGTATGTGTGGGACTACTGTAGATAGCAACATCACTAATGGGTAGTACATATTTTCATGAACGGTCATTTTGAACAACGACAAGCTAAAGGCGTGCATGAGTAATGGACTTCAACGTACACTGTCCTTGCGAAAATTGCACACTTTGCATTCATACAACCAATCCTGGTGATAATCACAAGTGGCTTTCGCATCCTTGTGAAATTTTGGAGGTGGTCTGGATCTGGGTCATTCCAGGAGGCTTGGACACAATTGGTGATGGTGTCAGTTGTTACAATGGTTCCATAAAAATGAACAGCTATTTACATGTACCTACAAGTGGATTCCAAACTATGCATATTGCAAGGCTGAATATTGAGGTGTGTGTTTTTTTTAGAGAGTAAATGACCTACCCCTAACGCCATGAGCGCCATTCACAGTAGACACTGGTGCTCTATAAATGTCAATTAGTATTATTATTACTCTACAGGTCATGGCAGGTGGTAAAAGTTGCGGATACAAGGACACCGTCACAAATTGTGCCCCAACCTCATAGATTAACCCATCTGTGCAGTGATAAAGGACCTTTGCGATTTGGTGACAGAGATACAACACTGTAACTCTGCGATCAAAACACTGAAGCAATTTTATTACAAGGGACCCCTGTTTTCAGTGCTCAGGTGAAAGAGCCTACACTGATACTCACGGACATGTACTCGAACTCGCTCTTGCAAGAAAACATTTCTATATCTTTGTACATGTACATTCGTATTCATACTTAATGTACTAGGAAGAAGTGCCCACACTCTTATACATGGAAATGTGTACTTGACTGCAATAATTGGTGGTAACAATCACTCTGTGCATATATTAATTATTTGATCATTTCACTTATCTGCTGGAGCATTCACCAGTGAATGCTCCAGCTACTCTACTTTTATTTGTACATGTACCACATGTACTCAAGAACATTTCTTTGTATTGTGCTCATGAAAATATACTCATATGGAAAAACCCACATACTTGTGTGCTCCTACATGCACTCCTGCAGGACTACATGTACTAGTATGTACTTCTACTCATACTCATGATGGAAATGTACTCCAGTAAATGCTGCCATCAGGTTTATATATGCAGGATTAATTTTCATCTGAATGTGTACAAACATGAAGCATATATATGTAGATATGGGTGATTAGAGGCAAAGGTGTTCAACAAGTCTGTATCCAAATGGCAAGGCCTGGAAATAACACGTGCGTAAGGAGGAATTGATGAAACTCAGCAACTGAAGCCATTTCCCATAGAAATTTGGTCCAAGCCACAGCCAGTAATTCAGATATGGCGCAACTCCTTCTTTGGCACCACTGAGGAGGTAGGTGTACATTTTATCACTTAAGAAAGCCAAAAAGTACCAGTATACTGAAGTTTATTACTGACTGCTTGCGTAGCATTCTATACAGCAATGAAGCATCAACTAACAAATTTCAAATTCTGTCAGTTCTTGCTGCAAGTAAATGTGCAGATTTTTACCCTATAATAATGACTAACAAAAACAGGACATTTCACTGTATAAAACCTCTTGAACACAGTTTGGCGGCCCATTAACTGAGCTATCCAGCCTCAACTTGACAGAATCCCAAGTCTTCCAATGCATCTTGTAATGGACGTCATTGCAAGACTCAGTGAGCAACTTGTGTTTAACAGGTCATGTCTTACCTTTTTGGTTGTTTCAACCTTGTATCCAGGGCAGGTGTTATTTAGCTGCAGCATTAAATCCCCTCCATGCCAGGTAACATTCAAGTAGCATGCTTCATCCAAAACACCAAAGGCGAGTCTTTCATGACTTCTGATTACACACTTCAAAAAAAAAATTACATCCCAAGTTTTTGACTCTTCATAACCCTTACTATAATGAGCAGATAGCCCTCTCAGCAAGCTTTATAACTGTACTGCACATGCTCTACTTGGCCCTTCAGAACAATAAAAGGTGTCACTGCACATCAGATCCCTTGGGTTCTTAAGGTTCAAACAGTGCACACATTTCTGCTTAGATCTGAGCTCAGTCAAAGACGGTTGAATTCAGACAACTTTGGCCAAACTGTTTGCCTCTTGTTCACCAGCCAATTACATGTACTCCTCATTTATTCAATTCACGAACTTCATTTTCCAGTTTACAGGAAGTGCAAGCAGCCTTACTCTTGGACATTTCAGTACAGCAAATGATTAGAATAAATACATGTATATTGTTCTACAATGTACCTGTCTTGTTATGTTGATGTTGTTCCAGATCAGAACATGAACGTTAAGGCTATCAGTTGGAGAATTGATAGGAGAAATGTAGATCTTCATCGTCTTGCCACAATCCTCATTAAATGGTGTTCCAATTGCAGCATATGTTGAGAAGTGATCTAGTGCCAATATAATCTGCTGCTGATTGATGATCAAATTGCTGTTCTCATCTGGACTCAGATTATTCCAATCATCTGAGTGGGTGTCTTCTGACTCCGAGTATGAAACACCTGCTGTGATATCCCAGCCTGTTCCACCATTTGTTGCGAAGTGTGGGAGATGGAGCACTACACTCTTCAGAAACTTTAGTCCTGATGGGCCACATTCGACAAGAGGGGAGAGCAGGGCTCTAGAATGCAACCCTGACACAGACTGGACCATGGGGTTGACGTACAGATACACCTCCTCTATTTTTCCTGATGGTATTGCACCTTGAGGGATATACAGGTGAACGTCATATTCAGGGAGGCCAAGCGTCCCACCATAGAAGTCAAAATACCCTGCAACAAAATCCACCAGATGGCACAAACTGCCAAGTCGGTCCATGCCATGCAAGTGTGCAAAACGTTGATGGAACTCTGCTCGTAACATCTGCAAATGCTCAATACTGTTCATGCGCTTGATACATTTACAGTGTTGGTTTGACTCAATGTGCTGGATGCGATTTTCTTCAAAAGGCCGGCCATCACTTTCTTCAGAAAAGTCAGACAGGGTTACTACTTGCTGAAAACCATCGCTCAGACAAATGTCTGTGAAATAAAATTTACAAATGTTATAATGTGCATCTGGCTTTGAAAAACAGCCAATATTTAAAGTTTTAAACTGAGATCAAAACCAAGAGCTCACTAAAAATCTAATGAAGTTCACTGTAAAGCATTCAACTAAATGCATACTACATTAACATTGTACACATGCATACATGTACATGTATACATACATGTACTTGTAACTGTAGCTCTGAAGTACAGTTGAAAGATTATTTCGCTCAATCTGCAATAATCTCAACAACAGTGTTTGTTAATACTGTTATTCTAACAAGTTTATAAAACCCTTTTCTAATAAATGTCAGATCCTGTTACATGGAGCAGATGCCAAAATTTACTGTCAAAATAAAAAGGGTTAAAAAAAATAAGAATTCAGGTTCATAGTTTTTACATTATACTTTAAATTCAGGGGGAAATGTCCCTTTTTCCAGAATGTGAAGAGTACATGTAGCTCTAGGGAAGATTTCTTTGCTCTGGCACAAGAGAGTGGATTTCAAGGAGCTGCAAGGCACAGTAGGCCCTATACCTGCTTCACATCAAAAACTGCCAATACATTTGTACTGCTATCAAACATTACTGCTGCAATGTTAATGTACTGGTTTCCCCAGAAAAATACCATAGTCTTTGATTTTAAAAGTTATGGCAATTTTTCTGCAAAAATTGTTGGATTTTTCACATTGCAATTCATGGGGCCACATTTGCAAATGTGCTTTATATTCCACCCCCAAAAGACCAGAAAACGCTGAGATTATTGTTAAGTATAGCCGTATGAAAAAATCGTGAAATAACATCAAATACGTTTTTGCTTTTTTTTTTGTATCACTGCTTTAATCAAAGCATACTGTACATATATTAAACAAATGAGCATTTTAATTTATAATGCCAACTGCAAACTTACATTTCTGACACATAATTATTAAGCCGACAAACAGCCAAAGAGTCAAAGCAATACCAAACTCTACACAAACATGACAAAAGCTATCATATTGTGTTTTAATGTTTTTTGTTTCTCTGTAAGTCTAAACGTACATGTCTGGTATTACTGCTGAAAAGGGCAGTGGTCAGAACTGTAGCGCACACCCATGCACCTTATACTCACATGCAAATATGCTGTGTAAAAATCAAGGTTGTGTTAATTAAAGTGATTTTAAGAATAAACAGCAATCAACCTTGGACAATACAAGAAATAGGATTTTTATCAAATAAATATACATGTAAATGAATTTTTCATGTATTAAAATGACTTGCAGCAAATTGGACTTTCCTGTTCCTTCAATGCACTTGCACTTGTAGGTTATACCTGTATATGTATGTTTGCTTGTTTGGAGATGTGGGCTGTAAGAACTCAGGTATAGTATGTACATGGAAGTCAAATGCAGTACTTTTATTTTTGTTCACCTTGGAGTTGATCTGCGAGATCGCGCCGCCCACATTTGACCAATGCCCCTTGTAGCTTCAGGCTGTTATTCAGCCTCCAGTCTGAGTTCTGTCTCCAGGAAACCAGCATCTGAAAGATGCACTCCTCAGCTCTGCGGTAGTCCTCCTGCAACCTGTCGATGACATCTCGGCTAAAATCCAGATATGAGGCAAGCTTCAGCCACTCATGGCCCAAGCTACTTGCTAGCTGGCGGAAGTACTTGTCATCTAACATGCTGCTGGGTATACCTGTGTGGAGACAACATGGCTCCACATCAAGAGAGGGAGATCATTCAACAAAGCTTTATTGTTATGGTCCTTTGAAGCTCAAGGATCATAGGTATGTTACCCCTCTGCATGCACTGAGCATGGCCGTGGAAAAAATACATTTTTGGCTGACCTGTCTCGGAAAAACGGGCATTGCTCAAGAACACATGTACATCCAATTTTAACAAAATTGGTGTCAGAGTGACCTCGCAGAATTATCCTTCAAACTCTTAAAAGCTCAGCTCCTCAAAAGAATACATTGTGGTGTGATATCCAACCCCCCTCACTCTAGCTCTCTAAGGGTTAAATACATACTTGTACACGTAAGATTCGCTGCTGATACAGTTGCATCAAGCATGTCTAGTTCTCGACCTAGTCCGGCTGGATTTTCACCTTGTAACAAGTCACTAAGCAAGGTTTCTCATCTTGTAAGGGACGGCGACCATTTAGACCTGGTTTGAAAAGGGCCCCCCCCTAGCCACCCGGTATAATGCCTGCCCGGTATTCAGCCTACTCCAGGCCAGTATAAGGCCTGTCTGCACATTGGCATTTCAAAGTCCCTGATGAAAGGCTTCCCCCAACATGCTTGCACAGCTGAATAGGGGTCTAAGCGGATTAGTGTAAACATTGTAAAGAGCTGAAAGATTAAAAACCACAAGCAGGTTCCTTCTGGGATAGATTGCATGTACCAGTACTTGCAAACAATAGACCCCAGGATGAAGAAGTTCGAGATCAACAACCAGTCCAGCATCCCAGGCCAGTAGCCAGGCCGGTATGAAAGGGGTTTTTGCAACCGGGCGAGCTTACTGGGGGGGGGCCCTTTTCAAACCGGGTCTAAATGGTCGCCGGCCCTAACAAGTCACTGGGCTGGGTTTCTCACCTTGTCATGAGTCATTGGGCTGGGTTTCTCACCTTGTCACGATCCACAGGGCTGGGTTTCTCAATTTGTCACAAGTCACAGGGCTGGGTTTCTCACATTGTTACGAGCCACAGCCCCAATGACTCATGACAAGTGGTGCTGTGCGGCTCATCGCTGTGGTGGTGGAGCGCTTTTGTCCCTGGTGGTAATCTGTTCACTCTCAATACCCCAAACCCTGGTATACGGTTTCAAAAGAAGGCTGGATTATCACCACTTTTGAGAGTGAAAAATGTCGGTAATGCCCAGCAGTCTGGTCTTTTGTTCGGAGTACGCTCTTTTGCTACAGGGCCCTGTTTCCTTTGTCCGAGTTCGGAGACCCCAGCCACCCATATAAACCATACGTCTCCGATCCCCGGAGTCCCCGGCAGGTAGTGGTTAAGGGTTGGGGAAACATCAATTGCCAGTGTGGTCCTGGCAGGATTTGATTCCACGACTGAATGCTCTCGATCACTGAGCAATGGAACCAGATGAAACTTTGTTTCAGTGTCCAAGTCGCCCAAACAATCACTGTGCATAATCATTTTAATCTACAGTCAACACAAAATGAATAGATACCCCTATAAGCCATCACTTCAACCTTCCTGACCATTGTCTGACATGATCCTACAGGATCTTACAAGATGCTGTTTGCTTCAACTGGGAGAAGCTTCAGATCCAATGCCTCTGCACCATACAACCCCATGACCTGAACATCCAAGAGGCAAACTATATTCCTTCCTCTCCCACACTTTTGTCTGCACATTATACCCCCCACACACACATACTTGGGGTCCAGTTCGTTCCATTGTATTCTTTCTTGGATTTCATCCCACCTCACATCCCTCTGCTGCTCAACCATGCAGTCCTCTTCACCCTTTACCCTTTATCAAGTCACAAGCTTTTACCCCTTCCTTTTGCCGTCCTGCATTCGTCGATGCTTAGTTGATTCCCGGCTTGCTTGTCCCCTTCTACTAGTCATTTTGCCTTTCAGAAAGATTTTGCTCGGATTGACACCTCAGGCCCTCCTTATTTTGTGATTTGCAGTTTAAAGGGAAATAGAGGCCATTACCATAGATTGTTTTGGTTTTAATAGTTCAGCTGTTTAATAAATGATAAACAAAAACAATGTGTGATCGTTGGCCTTGATGATGGATTAACCAATCTCCAGTTAGCAATTTGCATGAACTATCCCTAAACCAAATAACTGAAGCGCTCTACTGCTTTTTTTTTTAACAGTTATGATCAAAGCAGTTGACCAGTTGATCATTAAAAAAAGGAAGGTTTCAATTTTTGTTTGTTGTAGTGGTAATGCAATAGCACTGTTATGACAACAGTATTATACAATACTATGACGACAGTATGGTGTAGTAGTAGACACGTTCTAGTGTGCTGGGATTGAGTCCACTTGATATGCAAATTTTTTTCCAATAGTAGGCCCACTTAATGTATAATTCAGACAACCTAAAGTATGCAAGGTTGGGCCAAGTCAATTCGAATAATTCACTTTTTGAATATTCGATCTTCAGTTTGATCGAATGGATATTCTGTCATACCAACCGGCAGACTGTTGAACAAACCATACAGAACATTGCCTTGAGTAAAGGCTAGGATTTCAGTACAAACTAGTAACTTTTGGCAATGTTTGGGGGTCATTTCAAAATCTTTATTTTCCCTGAATGTTATTCATATTTTCTGGGATCGTACTTTTAATTTTATTGAAGGGCAGCATGGAGAGCCTTCACAGAGGACATAATTAATACAGGGTCTACTCAAAGCAGGTCACTCAGGAATAGAGACCTATCCTCTGTGAGGGCGCTCCATGCAGCCCCTCTATTGCAGATATATTTCTAATAAATACATGCAGGCTACTGCTTTAAGAATTTTCTGGATTAAATGTCAACAGGGGAATAATAGTTCTCACATGGAATTTCACAAGGAAGAAAAGTCCAGATTAAATGTCAACAGGGGATTGCTCTCGTGTGGCAGTATTCATCAAAATGATGAAATGGCAAAATTTTTCACGGCCGTCCAGCCTACGTCGGTGACACCTGACGTACCATGCTCCAGCCCCGTAAGAAACATGCTGCTCACAAGTCATGCGTGAAATAGACCCAACAAAATGTGTAAAACATGTAGGCCTAGTTGGTGTCAGTCCGACATACGACTGTTCCCTGTGGTTCATGTATCCATGTAGCCTCAGACTTGGGGCCAGTCTACTGGACTGCCTCAGTATCCTTGGTCCCACAACGGTCAATCCAAAAAAATAAAGACTCTGCGAAAATGCCTTCTGCATGTTTGAGTATGAAATCCCTTTTGCACGAATGGATCACTCACCCCATCAAATTACATGTACTTTGGGCGATTTCCAGTTTGCAGAAGTCCGTGAAATTTTGGTTTATATTTGTTGGGCCATTCATTTACGACAGCAATTTACTAGACTGGCCCCAGTCTGGGGATAGTATTGTGCAATTATCCCTGTACCTCTGCGCTAATTAAACGGCAATATCTGTGGCGGCGCAAAATGCAAAATTTGCACACTTTAAAAGATGGTGCTCAGACACTACAAAAGTAATATCTAGGCCTAAATAGAATATAGCTGCATCTAGGGCCTACCCCCAGAACCTGAAAACTGGGGTCCGACTCGCCCCACTCCCGTTCGTGGGACTGGGAGCGGGGCGGATGTTGGACCCCACAGTTCTGAGGGTTTTGCCATGCCTCTACTACGTACATGTACCTGTCCACACCCTGCCTGTACTACTGGTACTGCTGTCGCAACTGTGTTCGGATTTTGCTCAAAGCACAGCTTTGAACGCGTTGGCCCGATATGCTTTCCAAATGACGACAGTAACGTACGCATACAACAAGCTGAGTGATGTTCCCACAGGACCTTGTCACCTCACAAGAAATGGCCGGCAAAGGTTCGCAAGTTGCGTTGAGTTCGACCACTTCCCAACGTACAACTCATGACATCGACAGTTTTTAGGTTTTCAAACCTAACCTCGTCTGCGTCGGAGGCTTAATCGCCAAATCAATCTCCGATTAGGGACCCAAAGCGTTCAAATTAAACTGAAATATTTTTCTCCTTTCCATCTTATTTGATACTTCTGAGACACTCTCGGACATACTGTTGATCTAACATCCTCAAGCATGTCAGAGTAAGGTTTGACAAATAAAGCCGACCTCATACAGAGCATCGAGGAATGCACGGATATCGGTATAGGAGCGACGTTGAGTAAATAGCCTCACGTTACATGCTCACGTGTACTAGCTTTAAGTGCGCCCTCAATGTTCGTTGTACATAAAAAATTGGCTTTTGTTGATTCGAAGTTCGGAGACGTATTTTTTCCACCTTAGATATTTAAATTATTTTTCAAGTGACAAAGGACTTTTCAAATAGAAAAAAAAACATGTATTACAATATTTTTACGCCGGCAATACTACACTTCTGTAACCAAATGCTCTATTTGAAATTATACTCATTTGACTAAAATAAACCATTAATTAAAGTCAAAGCAGCTCTAGCTCTGCATGCAAGAATATTCATTTTTCCTAAACTGGAGTAAATAAACACGCAACCAACAAACTGGAAACATGGACAAATTATGGACTGTTATCGAAATTAAAGAGTAATTTCTAATTTCACTAAGTTGAATGCAACAACTCAATGCCAATCCACAAGGAACATTAAAATTAACAGCATTAAGACCGTTCCTTAAAGTGGTTATTCTAATTTGTTAAATGTGTTTTCCAACATGAGTACCAATAGGCCTACACATGTTGGGCTGTAATGCATTTTCCAGTCATGAAAGTTTTGGATTAACCTGATACTATTCATCAGAATTTGAAGCACTATATTACAGCTGATCATTCACATGCAATAGACACTAAGTCATTGAGGAATTTTCTCAGAAGCCACATTTGAAAATTTCTGAGCTTTTTTTACATAACATTTGGTCACCATTTAGTTGAAGAGCACATAAAGGCAATGTTTGGAATCAAGTATAAAGTGGTTAACTTGCAAAGTTGACTTTAATTCAAGTCCTACTCAAGGTGCCATTTTTTTACTTGAGACTTGACTTGAAGTAGTTGGCTTTTGACTTGACTTGCAGAATAATGACTTGGGATTTGATTTGCACTTGTTGACATAACTGTTATTAGACAAACGTAAGAAAACGGATACATCTAAGAGTTTCTTTGTGCAAGAGCAAACTGTTTTTAATATACTGATGTTTTATCATAAATATGAGGTCAGAACTGTTTTGCTAGCATCATTAAGTGCATTGTCAACTAAATATGCATGAAAAAGTATAGAAATATCATGTCAATGATGATGTCAGATAGACATGGAATTTGCCTTTTAATAAGAAAACTTAACTTGTAATACAACTTGGCCCCAGACAAAATGACTCCAGATTTGACAAAAATGACTTGGATACAACTTCGCACTTACATGTGCCCATTCCCAAATTCTTACCCTATTTAAAAGCATAAAGCAAGTTGCATATGACCGTCTTCCTTGCACTGTATCAAACAACATTTTTCTAAACTACATGTGTATATTTCTAAGCTTACCGAACTGGGTTTTAAAGATACAAATAACTCACAATGTACAAACTAATGGAACAAATATTTTGGTGCCAACACTGGTGCATTTGGTACTCTGGAAATGAGTAAAGGCCTACATGAAGGTCAGTTTGTGTCAGATTACTGGACAAAAACAGGACTGTTGGCAAATTGTGACAATCAGATTCGTGGGGAGATGGGATTGAACATGAGATACGTATTACATATTCCAAGGGGAAAATATACAGTCAGCTCTCGTAACAAAGATGCAAGGACCAGAAAAATTACTTTGTTATAACCAGGACTTCGTTAAAAAAGGAGTTGAAAAACAAAAAAGTACTGGAAGTAAAAAAATTCACACAATTTGCTGTTCATAATAGTATTTTGGTTTTGTTCTTTACATCGAGAGTAGACCGTATACAGTTAATGCTTTACTTAAGAAAGAGCACAGATTTATTTCCACGAGACAAGAAGCTTGTGCAAGCAGCTGTGTGGTTTGTTATTACGTTGAGTGCAATCAAACACATTTGATGTTATAAAGAATTTGTTACAAAAGTTGCAAAGTTACAAACACGTATGCGTGTGGTGCCAACGTAGTAATGGCTTCTAAATAAATTCCAGGTTTTCCATGGTTATGCCCATACCAAGTACTAGTGGCTAGTAGTAATGCTGACAACCATGGTATAATGAAGCCTGTGGCTTCCATAACAACATATTTCATTATTTCCAGATGCAGCCCACAGCTTTTGAATAGTGCTTCTTTTAGCAAATTTGTCCAGTTAGTAAGCTTTGTGATATGGGAACCAGCTAGCTCCTGGGGCTCAGTAAGCCAAAATTAATCATCGTCTTCCTCAGCTGCCCCGTCATCCTGTTCTTCTTCCCCCTTGGACTGAAGCAAAGCTGCTGGAGGAGGGGGCGGAGGAACAGGCAAAGGGAGACCTCCAGGCATCGCATTGGGTGGAGGGGGGAAGTTTGGAGGCATAGGGGGCGGTTTCATGCCCATAAGGGAAGGCAGTTGGGGCATACCTGGTGGGGGCACAGGTGGGGGTGGTATGTTGCCACTGGGAGCTGAGAACATGGCCGGGGGTGGGGGTGGAGGAATGGGTGGCATAGGGGGAGGATGCTCCTGGCCAGGGGGTCCTGGTGGTCCTGGAGGAGCCTGAGGGGGACCAGGTGGTCCCATCCCAGGAGGCGGCATAGGGGGCCTGGGAGGTGCTCCTTCAGATGTTGGGGGTTCAGACGGCCCACCCACTGGAGGGAAAGGTGGTCCTGCGAATGGGGGTGGAGGGCCTCGCATGGGTGGACCCTCCATGGGAGGACCCTGTTGGGGACCACCCATTAGAGCTCTTGGAGGAGGCGGCCCACCCCTAGGTCCTTGGAATCCACCTGGTGGAGGTCCACGAGGGGGTGGGCCACCACGGAAGCCCTCTGGAGGAGGCGGGCCACCTTGGGGATGGGGAGGGGGACCACGCATCTCAGGACGAGGTGGTCCTTGGTTGGAGCGGTGATTATCCGGCATGGGGCCCCGAATACGAGGACCAGGTCCATCCCCACCACCTTGCATGGGCTTGGGTTCCATCTTGAAGTGGAACTGCAGGAAAAACTAATCAAGAAAAAAAAGAGCATGTAAAGCAATTTATTAACTCCACTTCCAAAGAATGTCACATACCTTTCTAACACTTCCTTAATTCCTGAAAGAAACTACCAGAATAATTGCTGAGTTTTCAAAGGGCATCAATATCTACAAAAAGGACTGATGGAAAGGCTGTACCTCTGAAGCTTTCCAAACATCCTTGTTAATTTTAAAGATATGCTAGTGTAGTTTAAACTACTCTCAAATTAGTACAAAAGTCCTTCTAGCAAATGAAATGCTGTTAAAATGCTCGAACAGCAACCAAAACCCTAATACATTTCAGATATGATCCTGTAAATGCTGCCTAGCTACCAGACACACAGTTCTAATCTCGGAAAAACCCCTCACCTGCTTAGTCTCTTTATTCCAAGAAGTCCAAAACTTGGCCTCTGACTTGTCCACCTCTCTGCTTGGAACCTGAAAGCAAATAATTTCAATGACCAAAGTCTGCAGACCATTACATCATTCATGCAATCATTACAACAAGTTCTGCCTTTCAAAAAGTGCTCTTAATATTTTCCAAAAAGTAGGGAGCCTAACGTTTCAATCCAAGTAGAATCTTTCTCAAAGGTAAAAATAACAACTAGACAGAGAAAAATAAGCAAGCAAGGAATCAAAACATCAGGCCTTCCTACTTTTTTGATTTAGTATTTTAGGTCACTGTAGCCAGCAGGCAGTTTGCAGCAGGTTTTGTATTAGATGTCTTCTTAATATTTTTATATCAGGAAAAAAAATTTATCTGATAACCTACAGTTATTTGTGCCTCAGAAAGTTTTCACATGACGGCTGTTTTTGCTATGACTGATGTCATGCACTCAGGAAACTTGCATGCTTGGCATCTTGATAGACTCAGCCCTATTGCTGAATAGTTGATGGTTAGCAATAAAGTTGAATACAGATACCTCAACAGACAAGTAACTCAAAGGGTTAACTCAAATCTGAACACTCTGTATCCGGTTCACAAGTGATTTCCTCATACATGTGCATACATCACTGATTACAAGCTCCCATTGAATGGACACTCAAGTTACTCATTAACTTCCATTTCATGCTTGTGGGTAAACTCTATGCGCAAGAAGCGCAGATCAAACTGAAGTGACATCACACTTATGAACCAGATAGCTTAGCAATACAGGGGTGTGAATGGAACATTTAAAAAAGCTGAAAACTGCTGAAATTGCGAGCATGAGGCACAAAGCATACATGGCTTGGGATCCAGGGCCCAAAAAGGGCCCGTGGAAAAGTTTGAAATGTAAATGCTATGTGGTGCATTATACAGCCACCTGGTGCGACCATTGGTCATTTTGGTCTTGCAATTTAGGCTATGCATATTTTTCATTTTTATTTTGTCTTCATATTTGGCTGAAATTCCTGAGGGTTAGAATGAGCTACATGTAGTAATAGGTACGTGTATACCAAAATTGCAAATATCAGGGGTTTTAGAGCGAGTTGATCTTTTTCCCACTTGATCTAACCATGTTTTCAAAATTTCAGTTCTTTAACCCTAACCCTCTAGTTTGTAAAATCAAACTGAAATTGGAGCATTTGGGACTGCAAGGGCCAACCCTTTATGCAGAAAAAAATTATTTGGTAGCCTGGCTCCTAAAAAACTAGGCGCTAGAATTTTGATGGAAGTTTAGTGATCTACTGGCACCTAAAGGGAAAAATCTAAGTGCTAGCCCCTAAAGGGAAAAATCTAGGTGCCAGCACTTTCATGAAAGTTTAGTACTAAATTGGCCCCTGAAGGGAAACATTTAGGTGCCAGCACTTTCATGAAAGTTTAGTACTAAATTGGCCCCTGAGGGGAAACATCTAGGTACCAGCACTTTCATGAAAGTTTAGTACTAAATTGGCCCCTGAAGGAAAAATCTAGGTGCCAGCACTTTCATGAAAGTTTAGTACTAAATTGGCCCCTGAAGGGAAACATCTAGGTGCCAGCACTTTCATGAAAGTTTAGTATTCAATTGGTCCCTGAAGGGAAAAATATTGTCTAGAGCCAAAAAGTGGAAAATAAAATTTGGCATATTCAACAAAAAAAAGGGCAAATCTGCTAAAAGCAGAGATTTCACACCCCTGGCAATACTGAACATGTAAGAAAACGTCCAAAGAAAAGCTATATAAATGTATGTCTGTGTGAAACCCTTACAAAGCATAAACATACTATCATTTGCCAATGCACAGAGATTTAAATTGCTGTGCTACTACATGTACTTCACACAAATTTTGTTCTGAAGATTTAACAAAATTCTCTGTTGTGTTTTGTTTTCTAATGGGACAAAGATACTGTTTAGTAATGACACGTACCTTAAATGCTATGGTCTCATAGGGCTCTGCTGCAAACAAAAGGTATTGCCATCTCTTGTCTGGGGGCTCCACTCTCTGTTCATAAGCAGACATGAAGCGGTGTCGGGGCACTATACCCTCAGCTATCTCTGGGTAGTCAATCTTGAAGGAAAATAGCACAAATGCCTTTAACCCTCCTATGGTTTAACAGCACAGATATACATGAATGCCAACAGTCACTCTTGTGCATGTGTTTTTATGTGGAACACAAATATGTACAGGTTCAATGTGTGTACAGTTGATTGCCAGCACAAAATGACACAGGCTCTTTTGTGTAGTCCTCTTCACTGCAGTTGGTTTACTGCACAATGATGCATATGAAACAGTGAGGCACAGCTGTTGGACAGTGCAATCTGATATTTGTGTGTAGGATAGTTGATGCAGTGCACAAAATGACACAGCTGTGCATCTTAGTGCAGCTGATTAATTGACCCAAAGAGTGACTTCAGCACTGATTACATTGTATGTGTGAATCCTAGCATTCACTGTTTCGAAGTCCCTTGTTTAAAATGAAAATGATCTTGCGTATATTCCAATGAACGCATAAGCACTCTCGAGTACAAAAAACAACATGCACTTGCGATGGTCAAGTATACACAATGGATGACCTAAGTAGTAGTCTACTCAATAGAGTACCTATTTTAAAAGCCTTTATAAATTGTGATCAAACTCTTCAAAATGAGTCACAAGAGTTACACGCTTCGTAGCTACAGACATTTACAATACACAATGTACACACCTTAGAGAGGAAGGGAAAGAAAACTTTTTCCAAGAGGTGACAAGACCATCTTCCAAAATTACCATTAAAAAAAGGAACAGGTTTCCAAGTATGATTGAAAACACGTCCAAGAAATGGGCTTCTGCAAGTCTCTTTTTGCTGATTTCAGAAACACTCATTGCATGTACATGAACATGTAATGATACCAGTATACCACTGACCCCAAAATGTCACAGGGAGATATGGCTGTAAACATGGTGCATTTTCACATGCAAGTCTCGTAGTAGAGGAATGTTCAAAGTGCAGTGATCTTGCACGGTTCTTGTTCACTACATTGATTGTTCCATATATCAAGTTTAAGTGCATGATTTATTGTGCTTTGTCATAAAATAATATGTACCCCAGTCTTGTACACTCCTTCTTGGTTGTTACAGATAAGCAATATCTGGATTTTTGGAGGACTCTTTTCAGTCCTTTGACAAATATCCAGTGTCTGCAAAAAGCACTTTGAATTTAGAAAAGAGATGCATAAGCCTCAGTGACTCCTTGTGTTGTGTTGCAGCTGCCAGTGTTTGGTGCTGTGCTGCTGGACCACGGCCATAGCAACCCTGCAACAATGACAGGTTTTGTGCCGTCGTCTTCGTTCATTGACAAGTAAATTCTAGGTACTTTCATAGGAATTGAATCCATTCACTTTAATGAGAAGAATCTAATACGTGTTTATCTTTTTTCTTTGACACATTGAAAATTGTAGACCCAGCAAACAAGTACACACTTGGGTTGCTGTCTTTTTTCTAGAAGCTTCACATGTACATGTACACACATTCCAGGTAGCCCGTCACATGTACATGTACACATATTCAAGGTAGCCCGTGATTCAGCCTGAGATTCAGGTCTGGGTACCCCTATACTGACCACGCTAATCTCTGTGGCATCTGTTGTCACTACAAGTGCATATGTACATTATGTCACATCAGTTACGTCCCACTCCATCTTTAATGTCTCATGCACTTTCATTTCCGAACAAATCTCACAATCATTTTGACCAGCTAAGAGTAAGATTCTAGGTTTATGCATCTTAGAGATTAATGTATAATATTGTGCATTTTCTACAAGTCATCAAAACTCTTTGTTTGAATGCATTTTGGCAGCAATGATGCCAGTTTACATGTATCTTTATGCATGCTTCATGCATGCCTCTTGTGCCTTTCTCCCTGTTACATCGTCAGCCAAACACACACAAAATTTGACCTTGCGGCCCAGTTGGTTATGGACAGATATTGCCTCTTTATTTCTCTCGTATTTATTTTCAAAAGATAAATTCATTGTATACTGATTTCTGGGAAGCTAGTCTACCTCCCAAACCCAGTCGCGATATTTGAAGCCTTTTGCCTACCTCTGTAACAGGAACATGAAATATTTTCGACCCACAAAAGATCCGTATTGGGTCTTTCGATTGATAAATGGTCTTTCTAAAATTAAAACAAAACTATAGAAAACAGGCGTTATTACTCATTTTGTGGGAGCTGGTAACAGTTTGTTTGTGGTTTCCTACCTGGAACAAAAGACTCTGTTGGCCCAAATTAGGATCCCGTTGCTTGGTTACTGAAAATAAACAATAAACAAGCTTTTCATTGCCAAAATAGAGCAAGGCTAAATCAAATGACTACAGCACGATCATGAGAGCAGTGCCAAGCTCCAGAAGATAAATTGTGGGTTTAAATTCACCTTCAAAGATATTAAAAAGGGTAAGTGGCATGAAGGCAACCCAACACCTGTAACTAGTTTAAGCTTATTCAAGTTGGTTTTTCAGTATTGAGAATAATGTGAAATTTTACAAAAGATCAATATGTTTAAAGAGTCAAAAACACAAACTGTCTGACTCCTGTTGAAACACAAACAATTACAATGATATTCATGTACAAACCTTGTAATGTATTAAAGACATGTCTAAACAAAAGGACAAAAGAATGAACCATTTTGGCTCTGGAGTGGTAGAGCTAAGCCAGACTTTATGCCCTTGGATGCTGCATAGCATTTCAATTCTTATGGTCATCAACTACATGTACATGTAGCTAGTGCTTGAATTCTGATGAATACCTTTGTAACCTGGGCGTCCAATCTTGACAAACTTTTTGATGTCCACCTTTGGTTTCTCCAGTAAGGCTGGTTGGGCAGGGGCATCCTTGGCTTCTTTTGCTGCTCTCCTTGCACTATTATCAAAAGGTTAACGTTTTAATTTCTTGGGCAGGTTTAATTGGAAACTTCTTAAATCCTCCAAATTCACTCTTGAGCCCAAAATCTACGGGTTTACTTACTACACACACCCGTTACTATTTGCATTTTGTAAAAGTAAGATATAACAGATGTAATCAGACCCTCTTTAAGACAGGCTAAAAAATTAACTACTCGCTCCTGTACATTTTCTTGACTTGTGTGCATTCACATGTAAAACCACAGCATTTCCTTTTCTCTGAAACTGAGGGGACAATGCATTTAGCTGCAGAGATGATGAAAATTATCACTTTCTTGCACAGCAACACAATTATAAAGATGCAAAATTAAAAAAAAATTTGAAAAGTGTGGCAGATCGCAATAGGCATAAATTCCAGGGTGTTCCTCAACCCCCCCCCATTTTGACTTGGACAACCCATTCTATTACCCATAAATTAAGTGCTCCATTTTAAATGTTAGATTAGGGCACTTGAGCTTGCAATGTCATTATAAATGTACAGTAAACTCTCGAATAACTCGAAGTCAGTAAACTCAAGACTCTGCTTATCTCGAAGACATTCCTTACTCCTGCCAAAAGACTACGCTTCATGTACAAAAATACCTCTATAAACTCAAAATGCCCACACAACTACAGGTACATCCGCTTAACTTGAAGTTTGAAGGGCCGATCCAAAAAGCCTGCCACCAAATTACTGACAATGAGTGGAAAAAGAACACGGAGACTGTAATTATGAGTCATTTCTGTAAACCACACTTCTTCTTTTTGTGTGAGGACACAAGCTTGCATGCTGCCAGTGCCATTGTGATTGACTCATTGCGACCACAATATAAACAAATCCCAGCTTTCAATCAAGCCTGGTTGCCATCGTGGCCCAAGTGTAGCCCTCACGCATGCAAGCAAATTGTTGATTCTTTACGGTGGCTGTGTAACTGCAATGAAGGAAGCTTTGTGGATATCTTGGCTAAAGCATGGCTGCTGCCGCCTGCCCAACTGCAGCTCTAATGCACTGTCCACATGCTGACTGACATGTCTTCCCTCGAGGTGCTGGAAATGCTGTTTTGTGTTGTCAAATTTCAATTGAATTTTTTTTAAAAAGGAAAGGTAAAGGAATAAAAAGACAAACAAAAACATACAAATATTTGTTTTTTTTTTTACACTTGAGCGTTTTGAAATGCAAAATTGTGTGCCCTCAGGCGATTACAAAGGAATGATCATGTGGCCAAACAGAAAAACCCCGGGCCCAGCCCCGGCCACAGCTAAGCGAGCAAGCACAGGGCTGTGCTCTTCGCACCATGGTGTGCACTGAACGAAAGAATTGTCACAAAAAAGGTTTTAGTGGTTATGTTTTATCAGTAGAATAGAAAATTTTATGTAAGAAAAACATGAAATCTCAGCAAAGTACTGATTTTTAGAAGAAATTAGTTCTTGGATATGAGGAAATAACCACTTATATGACATTTCCAAGAGCCACCACAGGGGCAAGTAGGGTTACTTGTGCACTGTGCGTGTATGTGTGGGCAAGACTTGGGAATGTTCGTTAACTCAAAATCCGGATAACTTGAATTTTTTATCCGTTCCCCTGAGGTTTGAGTTATCGAGAGTTTATTGTATTTACATACAATGTAACATGAACAGTGCCACTTTATGTAATGTGGTCTGCAGCCAGGCAAATTTAGGATTTTGGTCTCTCCAACCATTGCCCCACTTGCCAGCATGGATTTATACTGAGATGCAGATCATTCACACCCTTGCAGCTCAGGCATGCAGTTGGGAAGGCAAAAAAAGAGGCAATTCCAAGCTGCACAAGACTATGAACATACGTGTACACTAAAAGTAAAAAAAAAAGAAAAGAAAATGAAATGAGCTGGCCAGAGGACAAGTTGCATGCTTGGCAGTTCCATACTAGCACTGCCATAAGCACAGAAGGTGATCATAAGAACAAACAGAAGCATAACTACGACTTCACAGACCCCAGCTGTGCCCCTGATGGATCAGTCCAATACAAAACTGTGACTTACAGGTTAGACTGATGTTTTTTTCCCTGTGTGTGAGCCAAGTAGCTGCCTTCGTTGTTGTGAAGTGTCAAGCATAATTTGCACTCATAGGAGCCCAAGTGATTCTTCATGAAATAAGGATCCTGAGCAAAAGAAAATAACAAGCTGATGTAACAAGCTCATGTAAATGGGATAGAAATCTGCAATTCCTTAACTTTCCATTTGTTAATATACCAGTTTAAAATGCGCAGTACGCAAAATCCACACCTACAATACATCAGTGACTAAGTTTATAACAAACAAGGCTTTCAAATACAGGAATCCCTTCCATTTGTGGAATCTGTAATTGTTCTCCAACAGCCACTGGACACTTACCTTGTTCAGATCAATTGTTTCCAGGGCCAACTGTCTTAATCGTTCTCTACGATCTCTATTACTCTCAGACTCGGAGGCGACCCCACCCCCTCCTGTCTTGCCCCCTGCTCTATGTTGGAAGTCCATCTTGAAGACGACGCACTGTTGCCTTTACAAGGATTGTAAACGTGTCCCAATCAAGACACTTCAAGTAGTATGCACACAGCTAGAGTACAAGAAACAGTAAAAAGGATCAGTAACATTATAAACATTCAAAACTCACCCTAAACATAGACACTGCAAATGAGTATTATTAACCCTAACCCTCCGAAATCCTCCAAAATCCTTCGGGCAGTTTTGGAAAATTTTGGAGGATTGAGGGTGAATGGCAAAAGTACACGGCTTACTGCTAAGATGCCATGCATGGCAGTTGTGGGTTAGACCTTGTGTTGTTTTTGCTTAGTTATGCATGAATTCAGCCTGATATTTCTTTTGAATCATTCGCACTGCTCAAGAATGCCATTCACACTGCCTCAACATAATGACAGGAATTGCCGGAGGATTTTTTAAGAATTGAGGCAGTACTGGTAGGAACACCTCCAAGTAATATTTTCAAGAAATTTTGGAGGATTTCGGAAGATTGAGGGAGAATCTACTTTTTACACCCCCTAAATTGGAGGATTCTGGAGGACTGAGGAGGGTCCTTAGCCAAAATGGCCTAAGGAGTTAGGGTTAAAGGACCCATGCAATGGATTTTTCAGGACTCACTTTTTGCACATCTACTCTACTTCAATATACAAAAACTGTGTGAATTCCTTAAGGGGTTAAGTGTACTGAAAAGTTCTATTTTAACATTAAAATTTGCCAAGCTTTTCCTGAAAATTGAGTAATTGTGTTTGTGGTTTTAATGTACATGTAGCTTTTAGTGTCTGACTAGAAGTCCTAAACAATGTTTTACCAGGCTATAATTTGTCACATTCATAACCCAAGAACTTTTCTGTCATTTCCATTTTAAAGCTTCCCATACTGGGATACTATAAATCCTCAAAAATTGGCAAATTAAATCTTCACATTTAATTAATTAATTAGGGAAAGAGTATCATACACGGATGCCACTTGACACCCTGTGCACAAAAATTCAGGAGACTAGTCTGAAAAATTCTAAGTGTTTTGTAAGAGAGCGACTTCGTATTTTCCCTCCTAAATTGAACTTTTCTGGATGTTTTTGCTTTCTGATGAATAGGTCAGTGTAGGGAATAATTACCAGCGTGAATATGTGGAACTCTTCCCGCAATGAGTATGACTGCTAAGTGGCAATGGGGCAAAGTGGAAATGGGACGAAGTGACCAACACCTGACCGATAAGTCGGGACCAAACCATAATCTCGCGAGGATGCCAGAATATGCATAAGCCACTCAATCATGCAATGATGATGTAACTTTTGAGCTTTTTTAGATCACAGTTTGCAGATGACATCATTTTTTTATCGGCCAAAACCTTCAATACAAATTGCTCTGATTGACCAAATTTACAGGAAATATGCTACCCCAGATGAAACTTGCTTTTCATTTGGTATCTCTAAATGCGGATGGAGGAGATTTTTTGGTTAAATTTTGCACTGGAGGTGTTGAATTCGGTGGCCGGGTAAGTTCAATTCTGCTGATGAAAACGTTTACGTGAAAAAAATAAAGCTTTGCCGAAGTTTACTTTATGCATGAAAATGTTGCCGTTAAATATCTCCCTCGATTCACCGTGGCAGATTTCATGTTTACTGAGGCGATATTTCTAAAATAACGATCGAAAATAATTTTGCTATAGGCTCCAACAGTAAAGGCAACGGCGGCTATGTTGGCTGCTGGCATTTCAAATCTCGTTATTTTCCCAAACTCTTGCGTGAAAATAAAATCTCTATCATGTGACCTGATAAAAATGACGTCATTGCCGCTTTATTCAGGGGTGTGAGTGGCCACTTAAAATTAAAGCTGAAAACCGGTCGTGCTATTTAGCGTCAACAAGCATCAATACGCATAAGTAGCGTCAAGAAAGCGTCAACAACTTGAAAATATGCTCTGACGGTTTTAAAGTGGTTTTATCATATTTTATAAACTCTAACATGTTCCACTGTGTAAGACAAACAGGGAAGTTTATTCAAGATTCACACAGGAAAACAACAATTTTTGGCTATCTGCGGGGGCGCCATCTTACTTTTCTCTGTCGTCCATGCATAAACAAGATGGTGGCCGGTTTGGCTGCACAAGCAGAATTGACATGGTCACTGAAATTTCCACACTCAAACATCATTTTAAATAAATTTGATTGTAGTGAATATGATATGTAGATGCCCAGTCAATATTGTACATATAATTTTTTGGCATAAATACGCTTGAATAACTTGTTGACGCTTTGTTGATGCTAGAGAACTGTGATTTAGTTTGATTCTACCAAGATAATTATTCATGTTAAACCATTAATTTAATTATTCATATGAAACCATCAGATGCTGCCATCATTGCTTGAAGCGGAATATTAAAGAAACGCAAGTACCCTGAAGCAAGAGTTTCATGCTCATTTAGATGCTACTTGACGCTTAGTCCCACACGTAGGGCTGTAGTGGCTCTCTTATAATCTGTCTCTTATCTGTCGCCACCACAGCCCTACTTCAAGGCATGTCTTTATGCCTGAATAAACTGCAGGATAGTCACAAAATTTGAATCCTAATATCTTCTGCAAATGACTCGACAATTTTACTTACACCGGCGTATTCCTTAGAGTTTGGACTTTTATAAGAGCACCCTAAAGCTTTCCCAAAACGTATATTTTCCAATGTATGGCACCTTGAAGAACTCGGCCTGTGAAATTTATTTGCTGACCTTGGGTGGCGCCAAGTCAAGGCATTAAAGACATGCCTTGAAGTAGGGCTGTGGTGGCGACAGATTGTAAAAGAGAGCCACTACAGCCCTATGTGTGGAGCTACTTGATGCTTGATGCTAAAATTAACATGACCCCTGAAAACAGCTAGCAAAAGGCTGAAACATAAAACGTTCCCATACTTTTGTACACACCAGGTGCACACGTATAAAGTTGAAATTCAGGGTAAACATCTGCACAAAAATGCTGAAATCAGCTAAAAGCTGAATTCTCACACCCTGTTAATAACTGAGAGTGGCTTGAATACGCGACATAAGCAGAAACCAGGGACTTCACTAAATCGTGGTTTGGTCCCCGACATGACCGATGCCCTTGAATTACCCCCAGAGCTGTGGGGTCTGACGTCCGCTCCGCTGCCACCACAGTTCTGGGGGTACGCTTTGAGAACTGGTTACTCGCATGGTTACTTTTCCGGAAACCGATCCAGAACGAGAAAAAGTGTCACCACTTTCGTTGTCCCTGTACATCCGAAATAAAAGTTTAAAATTTGAAACTGATTTGGTGGTATCTCTATCACACAAGGTGGGCAGTGACCACATTTCACTGGAATTTGAAGATTTTTGTAGAGCTGTAATCTGACTGAATAATTTTCGCGATCTTGAACTGGGAAATGACTGTATTCTGTGAAGAGATCTCACTGGTCGAGTTGTCTCTCTGTCAAAGTCGAGTCGTCCTAATGGACAATTTGGCAAACGGTCGAGTTGTCTCAACTGTTGAGTTGTCCGAAGTCGAGTTGGCAAATGGTCGAGCTGTCCGACATCCCTTGAAGCCGGTCATGCTATTCAGCGTCAACAAGCGTCAACACATACCGGTATGCTACAACTAACTAGCCTCAACAAAGTGTCAACAACTCAAAAGTACCCCTCTAAAAATTTAAAAGTGGTTTTATCATCCTACCACTGTGTAAAAGAAACATCGAATTTGCTTCCAGATTCATGCAGAAAAACAAAACTTTTTCGCGATGTATGGAGGCCGCCATCTTTCTTTACTCTACCGGCCACGCGAAAACAAGATGGCGGCTGGTTGGGCTGCATGAACATGGAGCTATATTATGCAATCACATGTATGAAGCCAAACCACGGTTCACAACCATGTTCAAGTGTGAAATTAGGCTCCTTTAACATTCAGGCTTTATTTTCCTTAAAATAACTCTCCACACTCAGATATTGAATTTGATATGTACTGGGAGCCCTACTATTTACTAATATTGCAAATATAAAATATTTGCATAAAAATGCTTGAATTTTTGTTGACGCTTGTTGACATGACGCTATGACTCCTAGCGAAAATCACTCCTTGAACCAACCCCATGCTTGCCGGGCTGACTATCAACCAGCCAGCCTGGCATTCCCGGCAGCATGCAGGTGAGCCATATATCCCTAAACTAGTAAAACTTAATAATCAGCACACAAACCAATTTTAATTTACGTTCGAGACAAAATTCACTGTACAGTACATTCAATCTGCTCAAAGGTTCTGTTTTCACCCAAATATTTACCGTTTTGTCGAAACAACGTTTGAAGAACGAACGTACAGCCTGCAGTAGCAACGGGTGTCGATCACTTCGCCCCATCTCCACCTCGCCCCATGCCATTCGCCCCATTTCCACTTCGCCCCATCCCTACTTTGCCCCATTTCCACTTCTCCCCATTCCCACTTCGCCCATTGTTTATCGTTCATTCTGTTCTTCAGTAACAAAGGCATAGGCCTAGATGGAACAATTAAAAACATTGACGTTTATAATCCAACTTTCAAGAGCCAAGACAATGCCCTCGATTTCCAGAAGGCCGGGCCCAAATTTTTCGGCGAGACCCTAACTTTTTTTTGGCAAGTTATAAAAAAAGTTTTCTTTGTGTTTCGTTGTCGCTGTGGTAAACCACGAGCGCAAAGCGCTGATTCCCGCCGCGCCACACCGTGTAAGGGAATGCGTGATTGAGTGTGCCGACCAGTCTATTCATACCGCGGCGACCGCTCATGTTACGTGATCCTTCACGCGTCGAAAAAAAAATCGATGTTACAAGATGTCTTCACGTTATTTCTTTGTATTTTGTATATATGTGTATTTTCTGTGTTCATCTGTTTAAATTTAGGTTGTTTTGCTTGATTTGGAGCAAGCATGTTTCCACAAAATTTCCTGCGCGCCGAGCTTTGTGTTTTATTTCTCCATGATCCGATCGCCCGGGTACAGCTGTCTGAATGCATCGACAATTACCAGAACGATATGAATAAAATTGTGTGTGTCGCTTTGAAATAAACTTGAAGAATCGAGGACTGAGAGTAACCCGGATGCTAGTCCAAATTATGTATTAATTCACCATAATTAACGGACAACGCCGCCGACACTAATTTAATTATATATAATAACTACATGTCGTTTGTGGAACTCTTTTCTCGACCATTTATATATATTATACCCTTGTAACATACATGTACATGTACTCGAGCACGGACAGCGCGGCGAAGTGGAAATAGGGCACGTGGGGCCGGGGATGGGGCGATGAGGTATGAAGCGAATGGTTAGGGGCGACGTGGAATGGGGCGAAGTGACTGTAAAACCACAGCACATGCACCACGGCCGTTTTCCAGTACTCAATTCGTCTCCGTTTAGGTTCGTTCGTTCCCAAAACCAATCCCCGATTGTGGGCCTGAAGCGTTTACTTTACATTGGATTACTGTAATTTTTGGTTCTCTTGCATATTATTTGATGTTTTGGGGCACTATCGTTAGACTTATTACTGCGCTGACAGCTTCAAAGTCAGCTAGTAAAAAAACAGTTGAAGCCTTTGACGGAGCCGAATCGAGTTTTGGAAAACGGCCCAGGAACGCGTCCGCACAGATTAGTCAGATCGCTGTGTACACGTACGTACACTGTTAACACGATGGATTTGGGCCTGGTTCCAGACGCTTATTTCGCTGTAAACTAGTAAAATATTTTACAATACCTGTTTTATACTTTTACAATTCTAAAATAAAATTATGATTGTATACAGAACGAATTTAAATGCATGTGGATATTCGAAAAGGCCACGTAGCAGTTCCTTTGACTGGTTTACAGCCCCCTACTCCCTTAGGCCCTAAAAACTTGAGAAGGCGATACATGTCGAAAACAACAGATGTAGGCATACATTAAATCATACCCCCATTATTAAATTTAAGGCTTATCTTTCAAATTTGAAAGAAAGAAGTCCTAACACTATGAAAATCCTTGTGAAGAGATATTCCTCATTTATGCTTCCAAAATGTCTCTTATAAAGTTGTTTTGCGGTGATATGGCTAACTGCACCGCCATTCTTATTCCAAAGGGGCGAAATATCTATAACAACGGCACAAACAATATGGCGGCAAAATCGGCACCGTGACTTTATTTTTATGTGTGTGCTTAATAGGCCTATTTATCGTATTTTGAAACCCTCACTCGTTGTCAGGTTTGGTATCATTTATCTGATAGCATGCAGACTCAGGTGCAGATGTAAACTTCCATGTTGATGACTTTAACTTGAAGATGTAGGCCCTAGTAGTACTGCCTACCTCCCAGCACTGAGCACATCATCATCATAGACATGATAGGCCTAGGGCCTACATGTTCATCGTGTAGGTAGCCTACTGCCTGGTCTGTATGTACTATGTTGGTATGTGACTACGCAGGTAAGTATCAACGAGTCGAGTCACCATAGTTCGCGCACTTCGTACTTAGACCAAAATTTTTCTTAAGAACACAAAATTTCAAGTGGCTTCATTCTCAGTACAGTAGACCTAGTTGAAAGTTTGACTAAAATCTTAGGCATGGAATTACTACTAATACTATTACAACTCGTACCTTGGATGACTTGTACCATGGGCAATTCGTACCTTGGACAACTCGTACCTCAAGTTAAGACCACTCGTACCTTTATCATGTTTGCAGTTCGGTTGTAACTTTCTTGCTCTTCATTTTCAGCATGTTCAAGATCAGATTTGACAAACATATAAATGAAAAATCTTCATAAATCTCCCGGAGAGATCTTGAGGGCCAGCATGATTTTTGGCAAAGTGCCTGCTGCGGGTGTTTGCGCCGTCAATTTATTACATGGCGGATGTTCAACGTGTTTACGCATGTACAAAATGCGCAGCAACTGACCGCCCCTTACACATGCGTGGACGACATGGTGCCGTACTCAAAACACTTGAGTTGAAAGAAAACTCAGCCCCAAAACTACAAATTTTCATTGACTGTAAAGCTTTGACATTCTGTCAATTTTCTGTTCACGCCCACAGCTCTTCCACGCATGCGTAAGGGGTGGTCTGTTGCTATGCATTTCACACATGTGCAACTGTATTCTACTAGACGAACGTACAGTAGATCATTCATGAATCACGACCGAATTGGAATTGCGCTAAATTTCCTGCAAACTACATCATCCAAAGGCATACATGTATTTAGTAATTTCAATATAGCATTTATGGACTTTGGGACACTAGGCACTTATCTTCTGATGCTTTTTCACCTCTACACAGCTGATGCTTCTCAATGGGTTTTATTTATGAGTTGCTGGTTGACCCAATCAAGTTTTATAATTTTCCTTGTTACATGTCTTTCCCATGTTAATAAATAGGCTTAGGCCCTTGAGGCTTTTTTCCCCCTTTTTTCATAATGTTAATCGGATAGTGATATTTTTAACCTTCATGTACCGGTAATCTACATGTAATTGTTATTTGTGTAATTTTTACTTTTATTCCTTTAAATAGTGGATGTATTTTATGCAACATCAATTTCGCGGTAAATTTCCAATTGTGAACAATAAACAGAGGGGCTGCGTGGAGCGCCCTCACAGAGGACAGGTCTTTGTTCCTGAGTAATATGCTGGAGTAGACACTATAGCACTTCAGGTCAAGTTTGGGGGGCCTGTTCTTGACACAAGTTTCTTGTTCTCGTGCTCGAACGGCAGGAACACGACTAAGAACACTGTTCTCGGAGCAGGATCACACACCACCTCCTCGTCAGGGTTTTACAGGAACACACAGAAAAAACTCATGAGATTTTGATTTTTGAACAGCCGCAAAAAGTAGAGAGATGGCTTCCAAAGCCATAGACAATGGGAAGTTTTGCAAAATTAACTAGCCGTCCGAACTCGGCCTCATTGTCATCTAAATCTAAATAACTACACATGTCCTCTGTGAGGGCGCTCCATGCAGGCCCTCTCGTGAAATGACATTAAATGAATGAAATGAAATTTGATCATTAAGATAATTCATCATTACCAGGTGATTACGGGCAATTTCCAACTGTTTCTATTTTTGAAATTTTGGTTTCTAGCATCAATGATTACCTACATGTAATCACCTGTCCAGGTTCCTTAATTGCCACTTAGGCCTACATGTACCATGCTTACTGTGAAAAATTCCACTTTCTCAATCGAGTGTCCCCCCAAAAACTCTTTAAACTGATCCATACCTCTCCGAAACTTATGATTTTATGAAACTGAGATTTTAGACTGAGTGACTCACTTCCCTCCCATTATCCTGAGGATAATGATCCAAACACACAACATACATGCACATGTACTTCTTATGCAACACACTATGTGTGTATCAAGTTGATGGCCGACTGTTGTACATGTACATGTATGTTGGCTCATGCATTTTCGGAGGCGGGGGTTACATGTACTGTAGGTAATTGGTGCCCAAATGCTACAGTCTGTAACGTTAGGCCTATGTCTACATAGATTATTACTGCCTACATGTATATCTGTGTCTGTTAACTAGCAGTGTTTGTCAATGATAATTTGTGCTTTTATCTTGATCATATTCGTAAGAATTTTTAGGAAACTAACTGAACACAGGGCTGACTGTAATCTGGTCTAGGCTTAAGTTAAAGCCATGTCAGATTGCATTGCACCCCAATTTTTGTGCATTCATTGAATGAAACAGTTTTCTTTTTTTACATGTTTTGTACATGTAAAACACTTATTTTTGACAAGCTTTCATGACCTTCGGAAAATTACTGGCCCTCTAATAGAAATTTCAGTCGCTGTAATACATGAACCACTTCCAAAAATACTTTAAAAATTGTAACATTTATACATACATCGCTGTGATTTGACTTTAACTTGTAATGTTCATTTCTAATTGAAAAAATAGGTTAGATTGTATTGATACAATGGAGAGTGCAAGGAAACCACAGCTTCATGATCTGCGACAGAGGAGACTGGCTTATTTTGATCAGCGATATCCCCCAACTCCTCCCACAGAACCCAAACCAAGTAGCAATGTTCACATTATCCCTGAAAGGATATTAAATGGGCGAGATGGAAAGAAGGCTTCTGAATCCTATGGAAATGCAGCCTACAACAAAACTGGTGCCATTCCAAAATCACACAAGAAGATTCAGCGGGACATTGACTTCCTTGATGCTAACAGAAGGCATGGTTTGAATTCTGACAGTATGGAATCAACGGAAGAACATGGGTTCAGTTATCAGTTGGTTGCTGCAAAAAAGGAATCCGTCAATCAGAAGCTGAGCTCACAGGAATTTGAGATACATGTATCGCGTGATGTTGACAATCTTTTCCAGTCAAATAGGACAAGACCCAGAACACCAGGACAAACTCCAAAAGAGAAACTGGACAAATTTCATCCTTCTGTACCAGTGCAAAGTAGTGCCATTGATGCAGCCTCCATGGATTATGAGCGTAAGCTCATTAATGACCTACAAAAACCTGATCGTCAGAAAACAAACCATCATATAAGAAATTCACAAGGCAAGATAGTGGGCAATTCACCGTGGACGCATGATCACCTTGACTCCAGGATGAAGCATTTGAAGCGATTCCTTTACAAACAAGATGAAGCCGTTTCACCTGCAATCAAGGTAGCTGCTGAACATGATGCACTTCACGCCCAGAATATTTTGCATCAAATGAGCCAAGTACGAAAACTTCGAGCACAAATGCATGGAGAGCTCATGTCCAACTTCTCAGAACAGGAGTTTGGATTGAACCCTATGTCCAAGTCTGATTATCAAAGTTTATCAAGTGGAGAAGCAACTGACATATCATCCTTGAAGAATGGACATGTTTTTGACTGCTCCACTGCAAAGCATCAGGAACCCAGCAAAATGGATGTTTATTCATCCAAAACAGATTTTCTTGGTGCCTCGAAATCCTTGTCAGCACCACCTGCTAACCATTCAATTTTACAATTAGAAAAGGAAGACACTGATGCTGATTGTACTGGCAAGCAAGATAAAATTGCAAGCAATGATAACCTGGATGATGAAATGACCTTTGACCTTGGAGAATTACAGGAAGCAGCCAAACAAGGGGATGACATCTTGAGGAAGTACATTCAGAGTTTGAGCAAAAATCTGAAGAAGAAGAAGAGATTAACCGAGTCTGTTGGAGAGAACACCAAAAATGACTTCAAGCCAAATGTACTTGAGAAAGATATGAAAAAACAGGAGGAGCAGCTTGTAGAAAAGAAATTGTCATCACTTCCTGGCTATTCTAAGATCGTGAATGCGGAATTTAGTGCTGAGCAGGATACAGGCATTGCTCCAGCACATGAATCAAAAACTGCTGAGAAAAGCACTGCAGAAAGACAGTACAGACCCAAAGTGGCAGACCCAAGTGTAACCTCTAGAGAGTTACAAGACCTAGGACTTTACCAAGACCTTGTAGACAAGAAGCATAACACTCCAGATCATGATGCAACCCTGCTGCACATCCAGTGCAAATCAGACCAAAGTCGGACAGACCATCTGAATGGAATGGTTGGAGACAGTACAGATGATGAAGATCTTGGCTTGATTACACATCGACCTCAGCAGAGGCCATTGTCCCCACTGAAACAAGTTTATGTGAACAACAAAGTGAAGCATGTTGAAATCTCAGATGATTCTACACATCCTGTACAGAAATATCAATACAACGCAGATAACAGCCCAAGTGACTTGAATGATCTTTGGCTGACCATGCAGCCAAAAAATGCAACACCCATAGAAAACCACAGTGAACTTGAAGTCCATGATAACAGTCAGTTTTCCCATGATGTGCACAAGTCGCAGCTCAGTTCAGAAAGCATCATAAACAGCATGGAAGAAAGTGAAGATGACAGGGTGAGGAAGCCACCTCCCAGTTACGAGAAATTATTTTCAAACTCAACAGCATTAAGCTCTGACAATATCCCTTTCCCACACCCATCAGGGACTGAGATTGGAAACTTTGTCTGCTCAGAACAGAGCACAGACTCTGACCTGGATATGCAAGCCCACAAGAATCTCAAACCCAAGCTCATGCCAAATCCTCCACAAGAAAAGAAAAGTAATAGCAGTTTTAAGCGACAAAAACCTACAATCCAGTTGACTACTGGGAAGAAAAGTCCAAAACCTCCAAAGACCCCTGAAAGACACATGCATGGCATCAGGGAACACCATAAACGAGAAAGAGAAAGTCGCAGACAATTGTCAGCTTGTAAAAGTCAAAGCAGGTCTGTTGAGAAAGACGTGGAAAATCTACAGAAATTTCAAAAAGATGTACAAGGGGCTTACCAAAGTTCTCCTTTGCAAAAGGAAGACACAGTCGGCTCTAAAGAGATCCGGGAGGTAAACAGAATTTTTAAGACGTCCAGTAGCAAAAGATCCGAGAAAGTGCTTAATGTTGGTCCGTCTGGAGATTCCGAGCCTGTAATTGTGGCACAAAGGCAAATAGCTAAATTGTGTCAACACTGTAGTAATATCTATCAGAACAATCAATCCCAGTGTGAAGTTTGTGGCACACTGAGACATAACAAACCTTATGCTCCAGTAGAGTCTGTTACGCCATCCATCAATGCCCAATTAAAGGATCTGTCTTTAGGTGGAGATGCTACTACTAGATCGCATTTGACAACAGGAAGTGCTTGGGATATTGAAATCTCTGCTCAGACCCGAGATAAAAACTTTTCAAGAGTGGAAGAGGATGATGAGTCTTTTGTGATGGATAAAATTGCCAGTTTTGTTCCCAAACTCATACAAGAGCAAGGGGTTGTTGAAGAGTCTGAAAACCCAGGTGATCCTGTGCTGTCAGATGAGACCGGTGCTGGAGATGCCAGTCATTCATATGAAGCTTTACCTATGAGAGTGGATGCATGGCTTGCTGCTAACAACAGCAGCAGACTCCCCCTTAATACTACATGTATAAATGACAACTCCTTTGGGCCACCAAATCATGACAACTCGTCAGACCAGCTGCAACAATCCACTGAAGAGGACGAGACAGAGCAAAAAGGGACCTTTGACCTTCCATCTCAAGTGAACCTCAGCAATCACCACTTGCCTCAGAATGGCTGTGTGTCTAGCTGTATAGAGGATCATGAACTGAAACAAATCAAGCCCCTCCCAAGTAGTGAAGAACCCAAGAGAGGTACCGGCAGACGGGAATCAGCAAAGACAAAGTCTTCTGTGTCCAAGAGTAAGACTGGTCAATTGATTGACCAGCCCATGTACAACCGCAGGTGGGCAACGTCCAGCTCAACATGGGGCACAAGGCAGTCTGTTGGACGTGTCAGATCATCCTTGAAGGATTCCACCTCAGGCTCACCAGTTATGCAAAGAAAGAGACCATCATCAGCTCAGCACCAGGTACCGTTGCACAAGAGTGAGGTAGAGCCAAGGATGAGAGTGCACAGGACACAACCTAAGTCAGCCAGTTGGAAGTGCAGAGACTCAAAGGATGTCAACAGCAGGCAAAGGAGTTCTGATCTGAAGGAGGAATTCTTGACAGTGAATATGGCTCAGATTGATGGTAGGTAGTTTGCTAGTCAACTTGGACATGCCAGATTGCACCAACTTTGGTACACCATATCAGGTCTTTTTACTGTATCAACCAAGTTAAACAATCTAAGTCTTGTTGGAAATTATACATCATAAAAATAGTAATAATATCAAAGCAAACTAAGAGGCACAGTTTGTAACAATGCCATTCAAAGGTGCGGTCCCTGCACATCAGGTTTACAACATCTGAACATTCCTGAGACAGCACCCTGGGGATTGTTTTCACCCTGTGCTTCAAGATCAGGCACAAACGGCTAAACATAATAACTATATCTGCCTCCTCGGGTCCCCATTTACTGCTATGTGGAGAGAGGCACATTGAGGTAAAGTGACCTGCCCAAGACCACAACATTTTACCATCAGCTACATGTAAATTTGAATCCGGACCCTATGATCAGAAGCTATGGTACAAACCCAAATCATACTTTCATAAAGGATGTGGTTACTGGAGTATTGTGTCCTCAGGATTTTGTGATATTCTTAACAAGTTCTGCACCACCACCACTAATTGTCTTTGTTTATTCACAGAGGGTCTCGCATCCAGGGCTCTTAATGCCAGCCATAGCATGCTGCCACTCACATTAAAGCTCATCAGTGATGTAAGTCACATGTGAAGATAAAACTAGATTAAATTTATGTATGCAGAGCCCTCTTTGCCCAACATGCCAAACGACTGTAGCTCAGAGTCAAGATTATTTTTTATTAATTTTAGTACATGACAACAGATCTGCATTCATGCACAATTTTGGCAGAAACACATGCGGATCAAGGAAAGACACTTATTCTCTGAAAGTTGCTCAAGTTTCTTTATGGTTACTAATAACATGATTTTGTCCCCTTTTACAAAGTGTCATTTTTACTGATTTCTCCCTTGAATGTAATATTCTTAAAATGACTGTGATTTTCTCTTAAAGCCAGAATCTAATATTTCTCTTTTGTGAGTGCTACATTCCTAGAGTGACTACAATTTCCCTTAAAAGCCAGAATATGTTAAAAAGTTTCAGTGAATACCAAAATTGGCAACCTAGTGTTTACACATACCCCATTTCCATGTAGCCTCACATTTATACAGTCTAGGGTCATGCCTTATACCTTTGTCTTTGCTCTTCCATCGGCAGAGTCCTCGAGGTAATGACGGATTGTCCATTTGGGAGCTGCTTCCAGATGAGATTCTCCTCCATGTCTTCCGTTATCTGAGCTACAAAGATCTCATCCATTGTGCTGCCAGTTGTTCAAGGTTCCATCGTATTGTAATGGATGACTCACTGTGTAAGTCTGGCCAGCATTCTGCTGTTGTACTAACAATAAACTGTTGTGTGTTTTCTACAATTTTCTTCTCACCATAACTACAATCCCAGACTAACATACTATTATATACCAAAACACTACACCAGTATATACCAAAACACTACACCAGTATATACCTAAACACTACACCAGTATATACCAAAACACTACACCAGTATATACCAAAACACTACACCAGTATATACCAAAACACTACACCAGTATATACCAAAACACTACACCAGTATATACCAAAACACTACACCAGTATATACCAAAACACTTCAATTTCAACAGTCGGTATTTAATGAAACGTACTACAGTGGAATATAATATTCAAGTCCATTTACCTTGAATACTTGTCTCTTGAACTCTCAAGAACATACTGGCCAACAACTAAAAGTAAGAGCAGTAGCAGCGTTGGCCCCCTTCTGCTCTGTTCTTGTTTCACTGTGAACTTTAGCCGTCCATTAAGAAAGACCTAATCAGAGTCAACCACTTTTAGTTTCCATACTTTGTATAGTAATCAAACTTGATTTTCTTTCACTGTAAATGTAAATCGAAGTGATTAAATTAGAGCAGTGCTTCATCATAAATTGATTTTTTATGTATTTTATCATCATCATGCCCAGTTTATGTTTGCCAAATGCCTAGAGACTAGTTCAGTGTATCATACCAATTTTGATGGAGGACAATATGTATGATAATATGGCAATATTAAGGCGTTACAAAGTTTTGCATGCTTTCACTTGGAATATGAACCCCAAGAATGCCTGGTTGTGAGTAGTAATTGCAAATATGGATATATGTCTGTGTTGCAGGGAGAACCATCAAGCTTCACAAGAGGCAGTTGAGTGACTTTTCACTCACCCAGATTGGGGAGAGACATCCAGTGAACCTGTCACTCACTCAGTGCCATAGTAACATTGTCACTGAGAATGGCTTGCGTAATCTCTTCCGTAGCTGCACTGACACACTCCAGGTAATAGGAATAAAAACAGATATATACTGTACATGTTTGTTCCATTATGAAATCTATTGGATGTGATTTCTCAGTCTTTGACAGAAAAGAATATGATTATTAACAAGAGGAGCCAAATTTCATAAAGCAATAGAAAAAAGTTGTGTCAACTATTTTAGCCAAATTAAGGTAAAGCTCCAATGTTGTTTGTTATAGAAAAGAGTTGAAAATACACGGAAAACTATAATATTTTTATTGCTAAAAATGAAAATGAAAAGGCGAAATAATTCCTGGCCAGATTTTCATAAGTGGTTATAGGTGTCTTGTGAATGACATCTCTTCCTACAGATTGCCACTTGCATGAGCATTTTGGATTCCAAATTTTCTTGACGTCATCATTTCATGGTATTTGGATGAATACATGCACATGTATGCACATATGTACCTGATGGCTTTGAATATGCAGTTGTAATTTTCCTCCAAAGATCGTATCCTGTGAGGCACAGCTGTAGTTTTACAACACAAAAAGCCAAACTTGGAGCTGAAGAGACTGAAAACCATACCATTGGTTGGCTGAACAATAGGGTTCTAATACATACATGTATTTCTCTTTCCGGGATGCATAACAGGAACTGAATGTGAGTGGATGCACAGGTGGGGAGCTGACAGGTGATTCACTTTTACTACATGCCTCCAGGTGCCATCATCTGATGTCATTGGATGCCAGCTGGTGTCAGGCCACTGACAATGGGTTGTCAGCCATTAGTGAGAGCTGTCATAGGTAGTATTTGTCCTCTACTTAGAATAGATGGATCCATAAGGGCCCACTCAGTGATGTCCTGACCAATCTCAGCTTGGATTAATGTCCAGCATGCATGCACAAAAGACTTAAATGAATGATGATGCCTACGTACAGTTGCAATGTGGAATGTGGCAGTGGAAAATGTTTGAATGGACAAGGATAACTGAGTTGGTCTTTTGCCATATTTGGAACAAAAAATATGACTTCTCTTGCAAAGATCTGGTGTCAAGACTACAATGATTATTAATGCTATTATGTAGGAACTCATTCAAGCAAGGAAGTTTGAAGGTGCAGCTTGTCTTTGAACCCAACCATGCAGAGGCTCCACTAAAAGTTAATGAAGTTGGTAATGACAGTTGGCAATGCCTCATCACAAATACGATGTTGAATTATTAGAGTCCAAGCTGTGTTTACGTTCTGTAAATCTTAAATCTTGTTCAGAGTGGTTAAAACAAGATTAACCCGAGAGAAAGGGACCATGTAATAGAAATGTTTACTTTAGTCTTGAAATTGCACCTTTTGGTTAAACTCATTTTCAATTTTTGCTTTGCTGTTTTTATCTATATTTAGGGACCTTTTTGTTTTTTTTATGCTGATATGGATTTGCATGTTCATGAGCAAAACTCTGATATGATCCCAAGCACTGAACCTCAATGTTGCGTTGATTTATGCATAAAAAAAATTGCCAAACTTTTTAGATCTCGCTAACAAAGATTTCCATTTCATTTGGCAATTTATTGTTGTACATATGCAAGCACTGCATATGGCAATAAAACAGCAAGCAGCCTTTTCAAAAATATTTTCAAAGACTCGTCTGGAAAAATGTGGTCATATTTGAATGTTAAAAAAATGTGCACTTAACAGTAAGATTAGCTCTTAAAAATTTTCAAACAGTTTTCATACATCAAAAAAGAGTTAAAACATACACAAGGAAAAGGATTTTATTGAAGAAAAATTCATCACATTGTTTCTTTAAGGTAGTTTTTCACTCATTTCCTGAAATTCCAGGGTATATTAGTTTTTAAATAGTGTTGATGAGTAGGATGTTTTTTAGCAGTAATCCTGAAAAAAAATGGTAGGTCAACCTTAAACTGGATCTCATGATATGGCCCATTGCATGAGCAAAACTGATTTGTCCATGGGGAGCTTCATTTGCTCATAAGCATAATTGAACATAAGCATGTTTGAACACAATGTGGCCCACTTTAATAGTCATTGTCCTTAAAAGTTCTGGGGTATTCCCTGCTTTGTCTGAAACATCTGTCAATAAATCTTGTAACATTGCTGCTTATGTGTAGAAAAGTAATGTGTGGCAAGTGGCTTCAAGAAGCATTTCCTAACCAGCTGCTGTGTGTTAGAATGGCTGCCGAGGTCACCAGACCTTACTCTGTTAGATTGTTTGGCTCTGGGATGATGTCAAATCCAGAGTTTACAGGCCAAGGCCCTCCAAGTAAAATAAAAAACTTCAACAGCAAATTGATTATTCCTTCGCTGCAAACAGAAGGGCACACCCATAATGTAACATGCAGTGAAACACATGCAAGACAGGGCACTTTACATGCATTGCAAACCAACAGCAGCATGTTGAAGACTGAAGCTAAAGGTTAGAATGTCCTGGGGACAAGTCAGTTTTGTACATGCATGCCATCTGCCGGGGCCATATGTTGAGAATGAGATCCAGTTAAATTAGACCTACCATTTTTTGAATTGTTGCAAAGTAAATACTGTACCTATTAAGACAAGGTAAAAACCAAGCCCTTGGAATTTCAGGAAGTGGATGCAGAATCACTTTAAACTTGGGTTTTTGAACCACCTGTATGCTGTAACCCAAGTCATGTAGAGAAGTCAATGAAACTGGTTGTACTCATTTTGATCTTAACTGGGATTAAGTCTCAAGTTGGTCAAGCACAATTACATGTATGCTTCATGCATGAACATAACAGGGAGGCCTACCGGTGTTTACTGTTCAGCAAGGGTCTCTCCATGCAATACACTCTTCCCCCTCACCTGTCTCTCTTCCTCTTTGTATTTATTTATTTCTATCCAGCATTGAGCTTCATCCAAGTTGTTTGTATGCCTGGAACATATTTGGTGGCCACAAGGATAAGGCACCAATGTCATTGGATTGTTGCCTTAACCTCTGTATTAGTCACCAGTGAGGACGTACTCGAGAATTGGACAGATGTGGTTGTATACCTTTTGTCTTCAGTGATGCTTGGTTTGAATCTGGTTGAAGCTAATATTCTGCCAGAATACATGAAAATGTATGGTGAAGGAGTATTGAATGTTTCTTTCAGATTGACATCTTTGTGTCTGAATGGTTGTCAGTCGGTTTCTGATGAATGCCTGACCCGTGTAATTAAGAAGCATGGCAAGAGGTAGGTGTCGATTTTGGTAGCACTGGCTAAGTTTAATCAGCAATGATTTGCCAACCACTGACCAATTTTGCTTGGAAACATATGCACAAAATACAGCTTGAGTAACATGCAAAAATCATTAACTAAAGCTACGTTCCCATGTGGCTTTTTGTAAAATTACAGTGGTTGAATGAAAAAAGTCTAATACAGCCGATTCAAAAGAGTGCGCCACCAAGAGTTTGCAACACCAATCATAACGCACAAAATTTATCGACCTTTTCCAAATGTGCATTGGGTGGACAAATTTTGCGCTTTGTGATTGGCCAACTTGTTGCAAACTCTCGGTAGCGCACTATTGTGAAACGGCCGTATTGGAATACCTGCAGAATTGACATCCCTGTTAGTTTCACTCCGTGGTAACTGAACAGGCCAAACAGGATTTACTGAAGGGCAATTCCATGGTAACTCGCGTTACAAATAAGGGGTATATTTACAGGATAATGTGCTACATCTCTGTCATTATTAGGAACTACAAGTTTCTCTTGTCACTCTGGGTAGACATAGACCAACTAAATGACTTAAAATAGAAAATCAAATGACAAACATTTTGAGATTCTTGAATCGTTTAATTTCGGTAACTTGCGTTATGAAAAAAGGACATGGTCAATTCTATGAAAGCCTCTTTTTGTAACGTCTCCTCATACTAGGCAATCTGGATAAAACTTTTCCTACCTTGAATTGACAATGGTTAATGACTTACAAGTTAACAACATCAAAGTTGAGAAACAATGTACTAGTAAAACGCAGGGAGCATATACATTTATATCGGTAACTTGTGTTACGGTAACTCGTGTTACATTATGTCCATTCAAACAGCCTGGCACAAATCAATGGCATTTACCTCTTTGGATAGCTCTGCATCTTATATTAAGTTTTTTTACAGATGCACACTTTTGTAAATAGTAAAATGAATATATCTAGAACAATAATGTTATCGATAAACCTATATTGTCCAAAAAAAAGTCATGAAATTTCTTGGAAGCTACTTCCTGGCGTGCTTTGAGCTCATCTTACTGGCCAGTGGCTTTTAGGCGTTGTCTGTATCGTTTTTGTTTCTCAGCAGAGGTTAGAGGCATATTGTCTTTCTGTGGGAAATAAAACAAAAAAATCATCACAATAAATTTCAGTTTTATTTTTTTAAATTCCACCTGAGGTTCAGTTTATGTGTGGGAATATTAAAGCAAGTAACACGTACAAATCTAATGTAAATACCGTAATAATTTCATTAAATTAAAAAAAAATCATTATTTGACTTCATTCATTCACAGTTGCAACAAAATAAGGTGTAAGTCCTAAGCACAGCTCCGACATTGTATTGATTGTTGCAAGTCATAATTTGAATAGACTTAATGCCTTTTCTATGGAGGGACAGGGACCAAAAGTGGCATCCTACACATGTAGCATCATGAAGATACACGCAGAGCTCCATGGTAGCACACATTCATACCCTGCAGTTCAGAATGTTAATGAAATGTAGGATTGAAAAAATCATTGCTTGCAGTGCACTGTTCTTCACTATAAATATTGAGGTCTGAAGTACAATACCAGGAAATGTATACTTGTACCATTGACATTTAATTGACATACATGTAGGCCTAGGACTGCTATAAATATTTTAGTCTTTTCTTTTTTTTTTAATGATTCTGTGTAAAAAATAATGAAATACACTTACTCTCTTTTATCTTAATGCTGGTACTGTAATTCAGATGAAAAACTTTGGGTTTTATTGGATGGACACAAACTGAAATTGAAAGCCTAGAGAATAAGCATGCGCTCATGCTGACATATGTATTTTGCAATAGGCAGAGGTCATCTAGGCTGCCCTCTGTTGTTTCAGTGCCTCACAGTCTGTGTAACATTGCATCTGACTTTGTTTAGCACACCCTAGCCCAGTTAAAGGTCTAACATTGCTCATACTGGTGGAATCTTCCAATTGTAGGCGGTATAACTCGCGTTACATGGTGGTAACTCGCGTTACATGGTGGTCACTTGCGTTACATGGTGGTCACTCGCGTTACATGGTGGTAACTCAAGTTACATGGTAACTCGCGTCACACTTTTTGATGATATTTTTAAAACTGATGACACTGTTTATTTTGGCAAACGTTTTGCTTACAGAATCAAGGTGTGATAAGTTTAGAAAATTATCAAAGCCAACAAATTACCTCTTATAATTTCTTCAGAATGAAAAAAAAATGTATTATTTTGGTTACCTTCCCATGGAATCGCCCTGAAGCTTTCCATGGAGGTGCAGTGGTTAATCCATTGAGCACTTACTTTAAACTTCCGTGTGTGCTTTTATGTCTTGTGTGAATAATGATTCCCTGACATCTCATGTGTAGCAGTACATATGTACACACATTGCTATATGTCATGGGTTTGCCTCACAAAATACCATACCAATTAAAATGTGGGAAATTTGACCAGTTTTGTTCAGGTGAAACTAGTTTTGGTAATGGGGAAGAAATTGATGAGATTTCAGTCGTGTAACATAACCACTTCAGTAGCATGGCAGCTTACTATTACTTGTATTAGTATGCGAAGATACACTTCAGACGTTTGCATTGTGCCATTTGACCAATCATGCATGTAGAATTAATGCTTCACCTTAAAATAAATCCAAATGGGAGCACACCTTGATAACAAGTGAACTTGGCCACAACTGTCAGCCTGTACAAAATGTCAGCATAGGCTTGGAACGTGTATCTGTTCCCCAAGTCTTTAAGCATTTTTTCAAGAATCTGCTAAATCCAATCTTGTCAACAGTGGAAAATTCTTTGGACATGGAAGTAATTGGGACACAGCCCATTCTTTTTAATGATGACGGTATTCTTGTATCCAATCTTCATAGACATTTAAGACAGCATTACTTCAGCTGTGATTTTGTATGATTTGTTGTGTTTTTGTAAATTAGCCATGAGTCATGTTTAGATTCCGACCAAAATTGGAATGATTTATACAGTAGACTAATCTGATTAGATGCCATAACTGCAGTGGCAGTGTTCTCACACACACATTCAACAAATCACGCCATCCTGTTGGTCAAAGAGACATGGAACACCCACGGACCACCTCTCCACAAGCGTTGTATAACCACAGGAATGACCTCTAATTCTTTTTGAGTACCTAACGAATCAATATTGAGTAAAACATTTGCTCTATCAGTCTAAACATCACTAGTATCTGGATATTTTGAATATGTTTTAGATGTAGATGATTCCAATAATTTTTGGGGATGGCAACATTTTCATGGTGTCAACCAACATTACCTCCAGTTAATCTGGCACTTCCTGTGTGTTTGCCATCATGTTTGTATTTAGTCTGCGGGTATTGGAAGTCCTGGGTTGTGTGCAGCTGTCTCCAGAAACCCTTCAGCTCATTGGCTGCGAGTGTCGTCACCTTCATACCCTCAACATTGGCCAGTGCTACAAGGTAAGAAAGCAACTATTGGCTATTGGTTCTGTGAATACCCAGCACCAGAGGCAGTAAGGAAGAAATTAACAGAGCTGCCAAATGGTGGGTCTCATTCATATAGACACCTGCATTACTTTTTTTCCTAGCCAAGGAATTTAGACATTACCTTATTTGAAAGATGGTAAAATCCAGCATGTTGGCATTGCATATACCTGTAGTGTATGCATAAACAACATTAAGCAACAGACAGTGCATCAAACCTTCATGAGTTGCCTGTATAGCTTTATGTTTTGACAGCAAGATCAGAATCACCCCCATATTTGTAAATGACAAAAAAAGCCAGACTGCCCTCCTGATACATGTATCTCCTCATCCATAAACTATTTGGAGTTAAGATGACAGTGGACAGACCAAAACAGTCTACCAGCTGTCCTTGATTATAACAAATGGTATACATGTACATGTACATCATTGAGAAAAGTGTAAATGTCGGCAGGGGAGGCCATTCCAAAGGGAAATCATTGCTATGTGATCAGGTGTCTTGTTTTGTGGCATGGAACACACAAGAGGTACTCTGATGTCATGTGCTTGCTGATTTGCCAACTCAGAAATGAAGCATCATTTGTGATGTGATCAGGAGTCTTGTTTTGTGGCATGGAACACAAGACGTACATGTATATTTCAGGACAAAATCTGCTATAGTACATGGTTAGCAATTTTGGACTGCAAATTTACAGCACAAGGCGCTCAGAAGAGTTCCAATGTAGTTCGGAGATAGTTTTGATGAAAAGCTGTACTTGAGCTTAAGGAGCTACATGTATGTACATGACAGAAAATGTTCTTGAAATGCCTCATTAGAAAAGTGGAACTTTACAGTGATGAATGTACATTTTTACATTAAGGCTACATGCAAATGTATGACTGTAGCTAGATTACTATACCGTACCTCATAAGTATTTATGAGCGAATTGTTGCAAATCATTGGCCGATTTCCCCACATGTCAGGGAAGTAGAAGTGATACATGTCAGGTGACATCATCACAGTGAGTATCTGTATGGTACTTTCTTCTGGTAGCACCAATAATTCCCTCTGAAATCCAGACTTGTAGTCTGACATGTAATTTTCACGGAACCAGAATGTTGTAGTCCTTACCAGACATGTAGAACTCATTGGCTCAAAAACAAGTTGTATGTTGACCTTAAATTTCATTTTGTCAATTTGCTCATGAACAAATGTACAGGTGTAGTAAAGCCAATGCTGTTTAGTTTTTATTTCTAGAAAAAAGAGAAAATTACTGATTTTGAGTTGAAGGCCAGCGTGTTCCTAGCTCTATGGTTAGACTACCTCCCTCTGCTTCGCAACGAGAGGTACTCAAGCTAACCTACACCTAAGGACCAATAATTTCCACTACTTCTCTCCCCCTCTCAAACCATGCAGTATTTGTATACCAGGTGAGCCTTTGATGTCCCTGGTTAGGAGCTACTAACTTTTCCCATATACATGTACATGTATGTACGTCTAACTACCAGCTGTTGCCAAAGTTGGATATTGTCAACAATATTACTGACCAAACTTACACCCGTTTCAGACAGGCGTTCTAGGGTTACACCGAACCAAGTAGAACTAAGAGCAACTCGGGTTGACCCAATTAAAATTTTGTTTCATACAGATGAACATAATACATATATTTGCATTGGGTTTGGCCCATGAAAGAGTGACAACTGAAACCAAGTTGCTCTGGTGTCGTTCCAAGAGCCTCCAAGTGTCAATCTTACGCCTTCTAGCGTGCCTGGTCACTCCTAATTGTTTCAGATATCAAACTTTTGCTGTACTTAATTCAAAAATTTGCTTTTAATTTGATTTGGCGGCACTCCAGAATGCATGTCTGAAAAGGGTGTTACTAAATTGCAATTTCTTTTGTATCTGTAGGTTACAGATGAGTGTATTAGCCAGCTTGTTTGCTATCTCAGAAACTTGAAGCACCTTGACCTGCGTGGCTGTAAACAGGTCAGTTACGGACTGTGTGTATGATTTGCAAGATACCAAAATGGGACTGTCAAATTATCTTGAAATTTCTCAATGTAAACTAAGTACAGTGTCAGACAATCTGAAATCTTACCACCAGGAATGCGAGAAAAGAGAAAATTTTATTTTTTTCTGAAGATGTCCTCATGGATGATTTTTGGAAAATACAATTCATTCAAATACCACAACTGTTAACCGGTGCCACAAAAGTGTGGTTGAAGTGTTGAGCTGTTGGGAGAGTCTACATTAAGGGGTAAAGTACATATTGCCAATGCAGGTTTGGAATGCGTAAACTCACTAACTAATAAAATATATAACCATAACTAATAGCACAAAAGATAACTTGGACTAGTTTGAAATAATAGTTTCTTTATGAAAGTGTGGAAGTTTATCTGACATGAATATATCAACATGGTATCACCCCTTAAAATAATGGTATGGTTGCTCCCCCTGGTGCAACCCAGTTTTCTTGAACAAAATTTCCAATTTCAAGACATTAAGTTTTCTGTTTTTCCAATCACAGTATCTCTTATACCTAAAATGCAAGGATACATGTAGGAGCCACATCTGTTGATATATAAAGTGTTCATGATTGGCATTGATGGTGTGTGGACCATTTTTGACTGACAAACGTACACGTGAAGAGCAAACAGTCGATCTTGCATATGTACAATGTACTGGTATGTCTTGGTCATGCAGTGACTGTAGTCAGTTCACTGCACGGTGAAACAGTCTTAATTCCACAGTCTCAGCGTGGCCCATGCATTTTTGTGAGACAACTTATATGAGCTAGGCTTTGAGTGTAAAAAATGAACAGCATGTTTCTTGATTTTCCTCAAAGCAGTGAACTCAAAAACTGAAACGGGTCCATGAAATGACACACAAAGTAATCCACAACCCCCCAAATTGCAGTTCATGCAAATCCTCTACACTGCCTTTAATAAACCTCCAGATTTGGTGTCTTTTGTCAGAGTTCAAAGGTCAAAGATTAATGTTTTAGTTTTTCATTGTACATTTGGTAAAATTTCTATTTTTGAATTAAATATTTTAATTTTTCTGTATAATGCAGTCTCTGCAATGAATGTACGTGTGCATGTAGTTTTCAATCCAGTCACTATCCTCACTGCAGTTTGTTGGAGATTAGAGACAGTTGCATGAAGCATACGTTGGAAAATATTGGTAACCGTTACTGTGCCCTGGAGATTTGTTCATCAGTTTGTTAACGTTTGTTGCGTTAAATGTTCTAATGAAATGTACTGATACTTGTTTGAGTCAATGCAGATTAGATAGAATTTTATGACATATCCTCTTTCATTAGTTATTTTTCCAATTCAATTTGTTGCATGTCCTACATATTTTGGGCAATGTTTCTGTTATGATTTGTAACAGATAAGAGATACATGTGTAAGGAAGATTGTAAGGAACTGCAAATATCTCGAGACTCTGGTCCTGGCAAACTGCACACACATCACCAATGCCTCTCTGGTTGAAATGGCTACCTATCTACCTACAATCAGGTAAACGACTGTGTTGTTGCCTTTGTCTTCAGTGAGAAGTTCGTGCAATCTGTTTTGTGTATGCTGCTTGAAGGACGTGCAGTGTTTGCTGTTGTTTGCTCAATTGAGATTATGTGTAGGTTCCATTTTGGCTGTGTAGTAGGCTTTGCTTTAGAACCTACATGTATGAATAGCAAACCCTTTGGGCTGACACACTATGCATATTGCATAACTAAATGTCATCTAAAAGTTCCCAAACTCACAGTCATTGTATGGGTACTAGGCACATAGAGGCAGTGACATTCAAGTGGTAACTCAGCCTGTCTTCTTGTCACCAGTGAGGGAATGAGGGGATGCTTGGATCACAGCCCAACAGTGTGGATGTCTAGGAAAGAAAGAAACTTCATTAAACTGGTTTCTCAATGAAGACCTTTGTAGGAAAATAGAATAGTCATAAGTGTAGTTGAATGTGGTCATATCATCTTGCATAAATAAAACTTCTGGAGGTTCTTTTCCTTGGAATAGCAAATTTGGCTGACTAACTGTAAAGGTTGCAAGCATACACTACATGTGCACGTACACATGTACAGCAGTCCATTGGATGTTCATATTAGCTCTTGGCACTATGTCAGCATGTATTCTAGTGTTGATCAGCCTGTCATACAGTATTTGCTGATGAATGGGGTATTGCTGCAGAGTGTGAAGTCCTGACTGCCTGCTTAGTGTAGCTGTGTGCCATCCAGTTCCATTTCCCCAGCCTTCAGTAACATGTACATTTTTACATTGTGTCTTATGTTTTTCTTAAGGTCCCTGGATGTATCTGGCTGCAAGAAAGTCAGTAATGAAGGTGTTCGTTCCTTGGCAACCTGTTGCCATAACCTGACATCTCTTGATGTCAGCTCTACAGGTGTTGATAACAAAAGGTACGTTTGAAATGCTCTTTGAAAACAAAGATTTATTTGTCAAATTTTATGTAAAATTGATCATTGTATGACATAAAGTTTGTGTCTCCATCTTTCCTTCTCTTCTTCTGTTATAATTTTTCATTGGTTAAAGTGAACATTTAGTGAGATTCTTTTGGCTGTAATGTTTTGTGTCTTTTGTAATTTCCAATTGTGAACTACTTACTAATATGGCTACTCCTGAAAGCTGTGGTGCTGAGAACACAGCATTCATGCATTGGTTCACACTCATATGGTGGGGTGGTACACATGACCAAGGATACATCTGAATCTGACATTTAAGGTTTAGGTCTTCACCAGTTGTAGTTACATGTATGTGGGTATATCTCTGGTCAAGTTTGGGCGACCTGTTCTTGACATGGGTTTTGTGTTCTCGGGCTCTAACAGCGGGAACACAACCTGAAAACCCAAGACCACAGTTCTGGGAACAGGATCACACACCACCTTTTCGTCAGGGTTTTACACGAACACACAGAAAAACTTGTGAGATTTGATTTTTGAACAGCCACAAAAACTTTCAAGAGGGCTTACGAAGCCAGAGACAATGGAAAGTTTTGACAAATTAACCTTAATATAATATGAAAGAAAGGAATTTTTTTTTTGGAAGAGAAGTTAGTCCAGATGTCCAAACATTAACTCTTGCAGAATGCTCAAGAACGCTGCCGAGTTGCATGTTGCTTTCCACAGACTAGTGATAACCGGTTGTTCGTTCCTGGCGTTTGAGCTGCTGACCCACGAACAACAAATGGAGCTGTTTGTGAACATACGAGAACAAGCAGCCCAAACTTGGCCTTCCTGTTTGTCACATGCATGGATGCATTGTTCAATTGTTCGAAAAGATACTTTCATAAATAATAGTTCTAGTGAAATTGCTCAGCCAAAAAAAGCTCAAAATGCAGTGTGCACACTCTTGTTATTGAATCTGATGAGACAGTCTGACTCCTGTAGCCACATGCTACCAGTATTCAGGTGTGTTGATTCCATGCAGGTGTGCCGTTCTTTTATAACTAATGTTCCTTGGAATAATATCACCATCAAATAAGGTCCTTAACTTAAATTTGTATTATTCTTTTGTTAAAGTGTTTCAGCTCTGGCAAACTACTGCAGCAAGACCCTGGTGGCTGTGCGTTTCAATTGCTGCAAGGACATCACAGAAATGGCCATTGTCAAACTGTTGAAGAATTGCAAAAAGTAAGTGAGAAAAGTAAAAGACAATTATCTGTTAGAAACTTTATTATTGGAGCGCCATAGAAGTGCTTTGTCTGCACTCAGGGACTTGTGTTAGAGTACTTAACACTGGATCTTGAGTCCTATTTTTATGGACATATACCCGCATCTGTGAAAGCACTCTATCTGTCTTGATCTCATACACTTTGGACGTAAGAGCTTGGCTTAGGCTTCCTTTGTCTTGCCAAAATTATCCATAGTTTAACTTTTGTGCATTTGTGTACCCTAAAAACTTCATGTAGTAATTATTCAGAATGGGGTAATAAAGCATACAAGCCTACATGGTTGTACTTAATACCAACCTTACCAGTGGCTCATGGCCGTATACAGTGATTCTGTTTGTTAATGTAACACTGTGTTATTTTTTTCAAGTTTTAACAGGTGTACATAAGGGGCCCTTTAAAATATTCAGTGTTTTTAAATTTCAATTTTTTTTCTGAAAAGGAGGCAGGGTCAAGGAAATAACTGAAAATTGAAATATATTTTTCATAAAAATAAAACAAACAACCAAACCCAAAAAGGATCAAAACAAAAAAGAACCGATTTTCATGACATGTACAACCGTGGTTTATCATATGTATGCACGTAATGTATGTACACACACACCAAGGTTATGCACCATACCACCACCGCACGCCAATGGTCCAAGGTGTATGAACGTTGTTAACTTCATTCCCATATTTATTACGTGAATGATCCATGTGCATTGGCACAAAAAGACCACAGGAGGAAGTGGTTTTTCAGTAGGCTTCTGTGAGTCAGAAGTTCATAGTGGTCAATCTTTGCCAAGGTAGCAGGGTACAAGTTCCTCGTTATCAGTTTACACACATGGATTGCTGCTCACCGGCTTTTTCCTGGACTGCAGCATGTCTCATTCCCAACATGCCAACTGATGAAACATAAAATCTACAGGGCACCAGTGCAAAAGAGGCAGACCAACAACCCCATGTGGCCGTATGTGCAGAGACACATTTATGTAGTTACTTCTCCTGTACATGTACATGCATGCGATTTCATGTAGCATGCTGGACCGGGAGTTTGCATACTGGATGACCAACGTTACTTTTTTGTTAATCAAAAATGAGGGTGGGTGGATCAAAAAATTTGAAAAAAAATCGAAATTTAAAAACATTGAAAATTTTGAATGGCCCTTAAGATGACTGCTGTAAACACAAGCTTGACTAACAAGGACAAAAAGGAACCCTTTGTGTTCCTGTTCAATCATACTATGATACACACACTCACACAAAGCAATTCACACTATATTACATACTCATTAGGAAGTTTTCTTATGTTCTCTCCTTAAGACTGGATACCCTGCATCTGTATGGTGTGAAAGGTCTACGAAATCTGGGTGTGCTGAAGTTACAGTATCCATGTCTTCAGTTTGAGTAAGGATGAGTAACCATCCATGGTTGTCAGTTTTAATCTGTTCCATGTGTACAAATGTTATATACATGTACCTAGTGAGGATCAGTGAACAAAAGAGGTCCACATTGTCGGTGTTTTCACCAAGTGACAAAAACTTCAAAATCTTGCCTAACGTACAATCCAAGATAAATGCGTTTGAAAATACGAGCCTTTTTAGTGCACATTTTTGATCACTTTTATGTTACCAATTAAGGAATTTTTTACAAAGTCATGAAATGTACCACTTGGAAAATGCTCTATACTTATGTCCAGATGTATTGTCTTAATTAAAGAATAATTCATTAATAAACTAATAACAGTCTTTCACTTTGTGAAAACAGACAAACCCGGAGGTCTTAATTTTTTTCTTATTACATGATACACACTTTTGTCACTTCGTGAAAAAATACACGCCTGAAGAAAATTGTTAAATTGTAATTTCTTGAAAACAGAGAAACACAGAGACTAAGTTTTTTGTCAGTTGTCTGTTTACAGTTACTTGGATAGTAAACAACATTTTGCTTTGAAACTCTGCTACTTTTTTCTTTGGATCAAAGGGAGTAAAATGGTAGAAAAACTCCAGATCAAAAAATGTTTGATTTTCCGGGTTTTTGTCACTTCGTGAAAACACTGATGACATAATGCAGGTTGTCTAAACTTTGTGTGGATGAAGCTGGGTACATGCAAGGTTACCCCCCTCTCTGGAAAACAGGTTGAAAGGTATTCTGGAGTTAGGATCATCTGTTGTGAAATAAAGAGGAACAGTGAAGGAAATCCTTGATTGGCACGATCTCCTCAGTTGGAAACTCTGTGCAAGTTGAATGAGAAGAGTACTCACTGGAAAAGGTATCAAACAACACAAGCCATTTGAAGAAAGGGCAGAGCCAGACATGTAACACAGAGATACATGCTTGAGTGTACAAACAGGCTTATAAATTTCAATAAGAAATAACCTAATTTCCAACTCCCCCCCCTGCTGTTTTATCAAATGCAATGCATTACATGACTTTCAAGGTTTTTCATATGAAGTTAAGTTGTTGAACAAAACAAATGGTCAAATCCTTATTTCTACAATGCATGAAAAGCCTCAGTGCATACCGGTAAAGCAAACAATGCAATATTTGCTCAAGTTAACTTAGATTTTCCCTTGTGCTTTATGTGAACATATTTTACCAAAATGTAACCTTGTATAAAAAGAAATTTCTAATGATAATGATAACATCAACATTTCCAGTGAATCCTTTCAGTCTGTATTGAAATGCTCATGGCTTTTTATTGTTGAAGGCCACTTTAAGGCCATTTGAGTTCCTTAAAGTAACGTTAGTTGTGACTCATTCAAGCCATAGTGAATAAGACCTTATTTCATGCATATATCTGAACTTACAACACTTATAAGGCTTGGCATGTACCCTGAATATTTTTTTGTTGGTATTATAGTTTGATTCACCAAGTTTTAACTTGACATGCTAGACTCGGGGCTTATTTGTTCCTGGGTAATTCAATTTTACTTGACTTGACCCTTCATTGAAGGTCATTAGTCGGGTCCATCAATAACAGGATTCCACTAATCGATAATTGGAAATCCAATATTGAGCATATTCATATATATTCCAGTGTACAGTAGATTCTCATTAACTCATAACTGAATACCTCAAAATTCCTTTTACTAATAAATTAGCACTTCAGTAACACCAAGAAAATAGAATATTATGTATGAAAAAAATTGTACGACTCAAAATGCCCACATGGTACTTCTGTTTGTTCAACCAGTACGAAAAAATACTACTGCCAAAACAGTCCTATACCGGTGTAAAAATATCGCAAAACTTTTTATGAGTCATTACTACCCAAGGCACTACGTCCTTTCATGTCAGGATATGATGGTGTGCACATCACACAGTTCACCAACGTTGTGATTAGACAAGTCATCAGATCCTTACCAATCACCCACTTGTAGCCTGTGCAATGATAACCCACTTCCTGGGTCTTTGCAGTAGCCATGTATTAACCAAACTGGAACCTGGCTTTTGAATTCACCTGCATGCTATTCCTGGCTCAGTGCAGATCATGGTTCATGCAGGGCAGCCCATGCTCATGCATACAGGGCAAAATAACAAGAAATAAAATTTGCTACCTACAGTTTGTTATTTATTGTAATATATCCATGAAAGATAAAACACCATAGGAAAGACCAATATGAAAACGATATTTTTGACTGCAAACTATAGTGTATCCATTGTGATGGTCTAGCATGGCAGGGGAAGCCATGAATTACAGAGTATAGTTACAACATGGATCAGATGTCCATGATGATTTACAGTGGTTCTTTTCTAGTCACCGGCTATTTTGCCACTAGGTTGGGCTTATAATTTCAAAGCTAATTAATGGGTAATAACCACATTACATGTAACTAGAAATTAATTTTGTCGATAATCTGATTTGTTCTTGATATTTTTAATATCATTCCCAGCATTAAGATTTTTTATACATATGTACTTTGAAATGAAAACTTTCATATCAGTGATATCGATTGTAAAGTGAAATTGAATAATCATGCAGTAAATATCGAAACATGGATGGACGCTAGAACTTCCTGTCTCTGACACTTTGGCTGTGTGTATGTTACTATCATTTCTGGTCATAACCAAGTAATTTGGATGCCATTTGAGATATCAACACATAGAAGCAATATGTATACTAATGGTTATACAAGCGTGGTTTCAATAATGTAATGGGATCTCTGTTGTGAAAGTAGTCTTATATTATAAACATTATGCTGTGTATAGTTTGTGCCTTATGCACTGCTTAAGTATTAAAAAATCACTAGACTGGATTCTGTTTTTATCGACCAGAGACTACAGAGAATTTGATTTCAAAAAGGATTGGAAATGTGTTTAAGCCAAGAATTATAGTAGTCAAGGTGAAGGAAGGTTAAAGCGGAAGGTTAAAGGATCCATGCGATGAATTTACCTTTATTCATGTGTAATTTCCTACTTCTCTGTGTAAAGAAACCATATGACACCACTTTTTAGTTTGAAAAGGGCACCTCTGTAAACTTAATGTTGTCCAACTTTCTCTAGTATCTGGACATCTGAGGGCACTGTTGCTGTGATATCATTTTGAAAGACATTGTTCATTTAAGGGGTTTTCTGTTCATAATAATTTCTTTCATTCAGTTATTTGCTGCCTTTCACTAGCCTAACAGTCGGTCCCCGAAGAAAAGAAAAAATGATGACTGCAAATTTCCAGCAACTATGTGCTAATACAGCTGTATCATTGGGTTTGTGCCCACGATGAAAACACTTTTTGTTTAGGAATAAGGAAATTTACACCAGTATAATTTTAAAATGGTCAAATAAAAATGAGAAAGTTTAAATGGGACACCAGGATGTTCTTCTTTGAGGATTGCAAACAAATTACTTTTTATAGGCCCTTTTAATAACATTTCACATTGGTATCCACATGGTCAAAGTGGAATAACAGCATTCAGGCTCGATTCTGGAGAGAGATGAAAAGAGTTGTATCAGTGTCATTTTGAAAAGACGAATCCAGACATGCGAATACACTCAATACACGCGCCAATGTTTGCAGTAAAATTGTTAACTATAGCTAGCTCAGGAAACTGTCAAATGTCAATTTGTTCACTTGATGGCAAAATGCATACTGAGTTTGGGCTTTTCCAGTGGCCAAACTAAGGCGTGGGGTATATGAAAGAGGGAGCCTACCTGCTTCAAACCCGCACTCCTTAATTTTCTCCCCAGAATTTTAGAGAAAATAGCTTGATGATGTTAATATGATCATTATTGTAGTGAGTGCCACCTCCAAAATCGATGATGCCCCCATGCTTCCCTGCTAGATAGACTAAACCAATGAACAACCTGTGATGACATGGGCACTGACATTGATCACGCGCTAAGACATGTCCGTGCATGGTGCCAAGGGGCAGCTTTGGTGTTAAACACGTTCACTGGTAAAATTCCTCGTGTCTGTTGATGAGCTGGCCATCCATCGGAGTACGTAGGCAGTGGATACTAAACACGTGTATAACTTATTAGCAGAGCCAAATGGAACATGTATGCAATAATGGTGTTAATAATGGCGTAAATTGCAGTGCGTTGCGTTGATAGCAAAATCCCTCCCAATGCATGGGATGCAGTGGTTAGGTGCAGATTTGGGGGAGATACCCGTTTCCTTTTTGATCTAGAAACAAATTCCTGCTCTTTAAAAGCACAATCCATTCTAACAATAGACTGTAAAAACTACATGTAGTATCATTTTTTCCGATTGTATCTTTCAGCTGTTTTAAATTCTGGAGGATTTGGAGGATCATATTTTTCTTTCAAACAATAATTACAGTTTTGTGTGTTTTGATTTCAGCTTATTATTCCAGGCAAATAAAAAATTGACGTTTCTCAACTCTTAAGTTGTCCACCTTTCAGGCAGATGCTGCTTTGAATAAGGAAGAATAAACTGCAATGTGAACAGTTTAAAGGGTAAATTGACATAAGTTTTAGACAAAATTAAGAAAATTGAAAAATGTCATTGGTCTCTGTAAAACCTAAATATTCTACCAGTTTTATTTTGTCGATTTTCAGATTGTCCTTGGATACATTTTACATTTAATTGTTTTCCCTGTCATCATTGGTGGGAGTGAAAGGCCTTGGAAACCTTCAATTGTTTTAGGGAGTACTGAATAAATCTTTAAATGTTGAATTGTCACGATTCAAATGAGAGTTTACTCCGGATCCAGAGCAAATTTGACTATATTATGTTTATATAAGGCAAAGGTGGATCCGGGGGAGAGGCAAAGAAGGCCATGTCCCCCGCCCCAAAACCTGATGAGGGTTTTGGGGCGGGGGACATGTATTTTGAATATTTTTTTCAGAGTAAAGATAAGTGTCTTAAATGGAGATTGTTCTGTATGGACAGAGACATTGTGTTGAGGAAATTGTTTCCGAGCAGCTGCTTAATTGTGACTGGTGCGATCAGTTAACTCAAAAGTGCACCGGAGACGCTGCTCACTTGTTCCCCCCCCTTAAAAATTGGTCTGGATCAGGGGGTGTAGCCACCGAGGGGCTGGGAGGCACGTGTGCCCCCCACATATTCCTGGTACCCCCAGGTGCCCTCCCCCCAAACGGATGAAAAGATATTCAACAAAGTTAACAACAGCTTGCCAAAAAACCACACCACTGAAAGCTGGTGTCCCTATAAGATGTTGGTTCCCCCTTGTGCCCCCGTTAGTAAAATCCTAGCTATGCCGCTGGTCTTGATCTGGTCTTGATATTAGGATATAGAAAATTTATATGTAGCCTGGATCACTTCTTGTGATTGAAGATTGTTTAAGATAAACATAGACACCATTCGTTTTGGAATACCCCTTGAAAATTCAAGAAAACAAATCTTATGCACAAAAATGTCACGCATACAAATTTGCTAAAAAAATGAATTAACGCCTTTTTTATTAATTTTCTTGTACCTATAGGGCAATATCCCATATAGTGGTTATACTCTATAATTCCCTAAAATCCACGGCGTTTTTTTTTGGGGGGGGGGTGTTTTTTTTTCTGGGTTGAGTCGCATACCACTTAAAGCCCACGACTTAAATAATAATATCGACGTATTAATAGTGTTAGATCATTGCTACATGGACGGAAATCGTTGTAGTAGGTCGATTCACGTGCATTGCCGCCTTCACGTTATTAAATACGCCGACACTGCGGTGCGTGCTGTAATTACTCAGTGCAGGTATACCCTCATATCTAACGCGCACACGAAGGCTGGTTCAAGTTGGAGCTTCGTGAGCAGCATAGCATGTCACACAGAGAAGAGTACTTGCTTATGGCTTATCGATCTATAGATGTAATTACTGTAAAGCCACAAAGGACATCGACATTGATTTCTGTACGCGTGCGTCTGTGGTCACAGTCGGGTATTTGTTTTAATCAAAAGCAGTTCTGTCTGCATCGAGCTGTAGACAGATTCAAAATTCAGCTAACAAGGGCAATGGATGTTTAAAAAAAATTCAATCCGATGAGTGGGGATGAGAGAGGGCACGGATCCCACCCACCCAACACCCACACCGGGCACTGAGCTACGCAAATCAGAGGGCCTAAAAGGGACAGGTCACGCAGCGAGCTTCCGGAACCCTCGTGCGGTCTGCCTATGGGGATTTTACATTGGGCCATCCTATCACGTTCGATAATTTTTGGAAGAATTATTCCTATGTTGGAATTTTACCTTTATCTTTCTCAACTAATATTTAGGAAAATTAACTTGGAGATGGGTAAAAAAATAATTTTATTAACGACCTTCCACGTCCGGCGATACTCGTACCCATACGTCTCCTTGTTGATGCCTGTTTGTTTTCACTCCCCGTGCTTACGTGAAAATGAGACTGTAAAACGTTGCAAAGATTTACCAGTGATGGAAATAAAAAAAATAAAATCACTAAAATGTTATCACTTTTTCGGTGCTTTATTGACATCTGGCGAATGTTCTGCAGAATCTCTACTAACGGCTTTTGTTTTGGCCTCTTGCAAACTACATAACTAACAGTAAAGGACGATGTCTTCCAACTAATTCTTTTGTTTCAGCCATGGCGTATCTCTCTGCCATTTTTCAACGGTACAGTTGGACGGTGCTTTAGGCGTTTTTGTTGCGCATTGATCACCACGAAATGACAGAAGTTTGCACGTGCTTACGTGCACGTACGTGCGAAGCTGGGGTGTATGCACCAACGTGTAGTTCATGGCGCCACTTATCGTGTATTAATGTACATGTGTGCGCCAGTCAGTATAACAGAGATCGCTGGTGTGCGCTCGTACCGCGTTGTACCGAACTACACGTGCTATATAATTCCACCAAATTGCAGCAACCTGGTTTCCCCATATCCATGGGCCTCGTGCGGCGCGAAACTAGGGCAAGAAACTGGGGATGAATTTGTTTTGTCAAACATTTTCGTTTTTGCTGTGAAGCCGCTGTCGCTAGCACGGGGCGGCCGGCGGGGCCGGTTTCTGATCCACCCCGCGAGCTCGCGGCATGCATGATTTTAAAATCGCCTCTTGCAATTCACGCATGCGCATAATGACATTAATACAATGCCAACAAGAGTACGGATTTTTCCATACAGAACCAATAAGGGTGCGTTCCACCAAATGGTTGTATTTGTGCGCGCGAGCTCAATTATATTTTGTGATCCCACGAGGTTTTTACAATAAGAAATGCCATAATCAGGGGGCATCGTAGAAATACTCGGGGTATTTCTTTCACAAAAGCCCCACATTGCGGGCCTATTTTGGATAGAGGCGGGCGGCTACATTCAGAGCTGAGTGCGTATTTACTACAATATTGCGAGTAACTTCGGGAAAGGCGAATAAAAATCGTGGCTAATCCCCATACAATTGAAACGAAAAGTGATGATCTGGCCATAATCTTGCATTTCCAGTGAAACAACCCGAGAGTCAACAATCGGTGCTATTTCGGTCTGATTTTGCACTGTTTTCTATGGACGCGTATTTGGTGCAGTGTAACCATAACTGCAGAAATAAGCCTTTTGAGTGTTAACTTTGACCAAAATCTGGTACACTGAGTTCTTTAAATTCACGTGAACATAACAACTTGAATTCTCCATACTAAAACCGCTGTTGCTATGCCTCGTGATTTCGGGCAAACTTGTGATTAGTTACATAAGAGACGCCTTGCAACAATACACTCTTCTCAGTGGATAAGAAGGGCACAAAGGAACCAGTCTTTTCCAGAGATGCTGGTCGCTATGCAAAAGCTTGCCCCGAATCACGATGTATAGCAACAGTGTCTTAGTGTGGGGAATTCAAATCGTTATATTTGTGTGCAATCAGATAACTCAGTTTTCCAGATTACCAGATTTTATTCAAATTTAACTTGCTCTGTTCCCGGAGTGCTTGTTGACAGACATGTAAACCTAGTTTGTCCCACAGGAATTTCGGGATATGCCACACACCATACAGATTTCATTTGTATCATCAGCGGCAGTCCTTTACATTGAGCCACCGCGCCTTCGCTGTTTTACTTGTCACAAGCTGGCAGCTATCCGGTTCGTATTAAATCAGTTTTACCACGCCCACTGCAAATCGTCGTTTACATAGAACCGGAAGTTAACGCACAACTTCAGCGATTGTCCAATGACAGCCTGCAAATCGTGGCGCGTCCGCCTTTGTGACGAAGTCCCTTAAGAACCGGATAGAAACCCGCAATGCTACGTGAGCCTGCAGGGTCCAGACCAGTAAATCAGTTGCCATAGACAACAGTGATAAATATCGCCACTTCAAAAAAAAAAAAAAAAAAAATCAGGAAAAATACTCACAAGTTTCACAGGTGTTCAAGGCACATCAAATTAAAGCTCACTTCCTCATCTTTCATTTTCCTTTCACTTTTCAGTGGTTTAGCCGATGACTTTTGAAGATATTTCTCTCCAGAGAAAAATCACCCCTCAAAACAGTCAGGAGGCTCATCACCATTTTGGAAATTGATGCCTACACTCCATGGTAAAATAGAGCAATTTGGAGGGCCCTGTTTGGTCTGATACTTTCAGAAAAACAAGCTGACAGTCCTGCCCCTGCATTTCATCCACCTTTTTTTAAACAAACCACCCAGTCCGCGTGCCAAGAAAGGGTCTCTGTCAAATTGACAGTCGTGATTTGGTCAACGCAGGCAATTTTGGACCTATTTACTGACCTGAAACCTGCAGCTGTGATCGATCCCGAGTGACATTTCCTTCACAAAAATTTGTGTAATGCACTGTTGCCATTCCAAGTGCCCTGAGAGCGCTAAGCGACGAGCAAATCGTAATCAAAATTATGATATTGGGCTCCCCGACTCAAGTCCGTGGTCTCGGCTGTGGAAAGCCGCCCATTCCGTTTCATTTATTCATTTGTGGATGTTCTTTACATAAGGCCACATACAAAAATAGTTGGTGATCGTCCCTGCGAGTTGCCCGCCTCTAAGAAATACATTAGCCTTTCGTCGAGGCCTCGTGGCTGCGTGTGGGTGTGTAACTGCAAAGCGACCCGACAGGAGACCAGGCGAATGGCGCAGCCACGAGGCGCAAGCCTTTTCCAACTTGATTTTGAGGTTTTTGTGTTTTTTAGTATATCTTATTCATAAATTTCATTTAAATAGTTGAAGAGGATGAGTCTCCGAAATCAACGTCATCAACTCCAAAGCTTACAGAATGTTTTAATCTGGTTTTTCATGAGGACAATAAGCGGTTAGATGATAACGATGATGCTTGTTGGTGGGGGATGGCGCTGACGCAGTTCATCAAGGCCAAATGGTCACAGCAAAACGGCAGTGCTTGAAATATGAAGCTCTCACCCTATCCCGTAGGTAGAGACAAAAACGTCAGTCCGCGTACAGATGCTTCAGTAGCCTAACGCCGCAACGGTTTAAACTCGGCGAGGTGAAGTTTTCCAGCAGCATATTCTAAAGAACTGTCCAAATACTGGTCAGACAACTGATCTGCACTCACGGCCGCCGACACACTTGAAACGCTCGCCATCTTTCGCATACTTTCAATTTGCATAATAGTTAATGTGTGCTGCCCCCTCGCTTTTGATTGGTTGAGATTTTTGCTCCCCCAACGGAGAACAAAAATCGAAAACATAAAGAAAAACATAAGAAATTCCCGACAAGTTGGAAAAGGCCTCGTGGCGGCGCCACTCGCGCATGTGGTCTCC